TTTTGAAGATACGACGTAAGTAGAAATAATAAAACTACTAATAGAGAAGGAAGTTCGGCCACATATATAAGAGAAAGGCACTAAGAAAGCCGGGCCAAATTCAATACTTATAGTACCAAATTCACCTATACTGTAATGAAAAAAATATTGAATTGCTACTTGTATATATAAATTATGTAAACAAACAATTAATTAAGTTTTCTTAATGTTTTATAGTAATAAAATATGATGTGCAATATAGGAGTTTAGTATATGAATGTGCCAGATTTGCACTAAGATTATATATAAACTATCCCATATTTATTTTATATCCCAAATTATTGTTACCTTCTTCTTATAAGAAGAGAAATAATGAGCTTTACCGTCCAGCTGTCACAGCATGTAGATTTCGAGGGCAGTGCATATAAATAATCTAACGAATGTAATAAATAATTGACTTTGGGAAGTAAAAGAAGGAAGGGAAAGTGCTGCCTCTGGCTGACATGGTTAAATACAAAAATGAAGTGAGTCTACGGACGGGAAAGGTGGACCGTCACGTGAATAAATGCACCCAATCAGAAGACATAGATCTCAGCCATGACACCAGCTAAAAAGCCTCCGCTACACCCTCGAGTAAATAGTGAGACGGACGTTTACGCGCCCAGGCGCTTATCTATTACTTACAGCTGACAACAACCTTTTTATATCGAAACTTTGGATTTCTTATTCTCTACTTTTAACATTCCAAGCACGGTGGCAGGTTCCAAGCCCCCACGTTCATTCGTTTGATAACCGCTGCACGAAGTCGTGGCTCCTGTCCACAAAATGAAAAAGCCAACCATGCCATTACAGCCCAACCATATTATATACTCTGCGCCAAACGCCTGCCATCTGCAACGTCAATACTTATGCCTGATGATCCACCCGGAATAACGATAGAATCTGCCATACTGCTCGTCTCGATCTCATGAAGGAGTGACGCCATTCATGCCCGGTCCTGATACATCTAGTATGTGGATCCAAGATCCCGTCTGGCAGGCACCGGCGGGGGAGGCTTCTTGGAACGGCAAGGAGGGGGCGGAGGAGGAGCCTTGCGGACGCCCAAGCCGTTGTTGACCACTGTGTTGCTGGCTGTCCTTGTCAAGCTGCCAATACTGGTAGCTGGGCTCGCACTGCGGGTGCACCAGTTGTCTGGACTTCCGGTGTCACTGGTGTTGTCATCATCCCGGTCTGCGAATACGTTCTCGTTCGTTACAATCCGGTTGACGGGGCGCAGCTGGCCACGTAGGCTGCTCACATCGGGTACCTTCTGGTTGACCCCATAGGTTGAACTGGGCGTGGTGGTTCCGGACCCAGCAGCAGAGATACGACCTCCGATGCGCTCGCGCTCCAAGTTAGCCCCGCCCTGGAAGGTAGCAACAGTATTGGACCTGCCAATGAAGGGGCGTGGTGCGGCATCGACCTGCTGGTTCTGTGACTGCACAGACAGAGGAGCCCGAGAAACAGCACTGCGAATAGGCATACGCACGGGCGGTGCCTCGCTCTCAACCTCTTGCTCCTCGTACACGTTGCGACTGTTGGTCCGGGACAAGCGGTCGGTAAAGCTTTGAGCAGTGTTGGACCTGCTTCTGCCACCACCGCTGGAGGCAGTCGGTCGCCGTTGGAGGCCGGCACCGTATCCGTTCATGCCGTTGGAGGAGGAGATGGCACCACCAGCCCAGCTTTGGCGCACTCTTCGCAACTCATCGGCGCATCTCTCGTGGTATTCGAGCTCGGCGTCGAGGAATTGAGTCAAATCGCGCACATTGTCAACCTCGCTGTCGCGGATGTCCTGCATTCTGCGGCCGACGTCTTCGGAAGCTTCTTCGTATTTGGCCTTGGCGCTCCGAAGCTCTTCCTCGATACGGAAATCATCACGACGCGCCTTTTGAATCTTGGTCGTGGTTGCGTCGTAGGCCAAACGCCGGCTCTCCAGCTTCTTGCGAGCAACCTGGGTTATCTGTTAGCTGTAACTCAAACATGATAACGAGCCGTATGTGCTAACCTGGTATTCCTTCATCATGGCTAGAGACCTCTCAAGAGACTCGAGCCACGTGGTTGTCGCCTCGCTCACGAACGTTTCCTGGATCTGGCCAATCCTCTCATTGGCACGGCCCATGGAGATGAGGCAGCTTCCGAACTCGGAGTCGGACGCAAACTCTTCACCATGGCCGATCATGGTCTTCCCGAGGTAGGTGGTGGGAATGGACTTGTCCTTCTCTTCGTACGAGTCGCAGCGACGGCCAAGCCACTTGACATAGAGACTCATGGACTTTTGGAGACGGTCCATGCCTAACGGGAGTCATATGTCAGAATGTACCCACAGCCAAAGATTTGGAGTAACATGCGAGTGCTTACCTTCAAAGCGAAGTGCCATCTCCATCTCTAGTTGCTTAAAGTCCTCGGACATTGTTGTCTTTTGCTCGCCGCCCATCTTTTCGCCGGCCCATTGAAAGGCGCGGTCGATCTTTTTGGTGATATTCATGGTGGCTATGTTGTCGACAGATGCAATTAAGACGTTAGGTAAAGTCAATGGACTATTCCTGAGAAAGGACGGGGAGTTTGTCGGGTTTTGTTAGGTCGTGGTTCTGGCACTTGTATAAGACTGACGACTTTTGCTGGTGCCAGGGAAAGTCTGTCGGTAGTACACAGACCTGACAGACAATGGCGGGTGTAGCTCGTAACGAATGACTGCTCCCAAAGAGTGATTGATGGTCGACAGATGGATATGAAGAACAAACGAGCAAAGTGGGAAAAGACCGAAAGGGAGGTTGGACCCGTTGATATTCCGGACGAAGGCGCCAGATATGTACACGGTAGCCGGTCTGGTAGCGAGTGTGTGAGAGAACGTGTGGTGTCTGAAATTCGCGAGGGGATGTGGTGCTATGCGTGCATTTGAGTGGTGTGTGGCAAGAATGGCGTGGGTGGATGTTGTCTCAAGGTGGTGTGCCCATCGATAGACCTTGATGGATCCCGCAGTCCCGAACTTGGTTTTGGACTCGTCTGGGAGGAGTTGACCCGTTCGTAACCCCCGTCTTATCACGACAGAAACAAGGAGAAAAGGTCGAAAATAGATGGTGAATGGAAGGAAAGCATGGATGTCGAGGCACGCTGGGGTCCAATCGAGCAGGAAACCTTAACGGCAGCTCAATGCGTCCTTGCAGCGCGCTAAGGCAGGAGGAGGGGGAGGAGGCGACCTGGACAGTCCATGCAGCCATGTCTTCTGCGGGGAAGGCCCAGATTCCACTATCTAGGCAGTGCAGGTGCTAAACATCCTGGGAAGGAGCCTAGAACGCGGGGGAAGTGACGATTTCCTCTCAACGTCAACTGAACACAAAAAAAGATAACAGTCGAGATGTAACTTCCCAACAAGTCAACACAAGGGAGATTGCTTGTCTCGAATCCGTGAACACCATAAGAAGCGACCATCCACCGGATGCAGTAGACGGAACTGAGACGAATCGTTCAATTTTGTCAACCAAGTGGCCAAAAACTGTCAAGCTTTCAGTTGAGGGAAGTCCACAGTCGGATGGTGCGGAATTCGTCACCTTTGCAGACGACCCACCATACATGTTCCGTCAGGAAATTGACGCACATCCAACGAGAAAGGAAGGAGACTTCTTTGCGTCCCCAAAACCACGATTCTGTTCAAGTTTGGCCTCAACAATTCGTCAATCGCACTTCGTATCCAAAGTCTACCGGTACCTGTATGCACACTCACCGACCAGGTCTCCCTGCCCTGTCTTTTTCGTTCGATGGGATCATGATCCCTCTCGGGCTGATCCAACCTCTTTGATTATATACAGTACCCATGAAGCTTGTCGTCAAATCTTACAGTGTCTAACCTTCATCCGAACAATCAAACATCATCACGAACGCTTTGGTACTGAGGAATTGCATTTGTCCCAACCGCCAGCAGCTCATCCGCGGCAGTGGCCACCCGATGCCGATTCAGCAAGTGCGCCCGCTGCACATTCATGCATGCAAGCATTCGGATAACAGGAACCGCAGCGCCAACAACACCCCCTTTACTTTTCCCAGAGAGTCAGATTGAAAAGACCGAACTCCATCACGCTGTCCAGCCGCCATGAAATGCAAGCCACCATCCACACTGGCTTGAGAAGACGGTATAGCCTGAATGGAACAAATTCCGTTGAGGATAACTTTGGGGATTACGGGCCGACAATCTCGATATACCAAGGACGTCGACATAAGAATTCTGCAATCGCCGCTGCCAAGATACGCCAGAGACATCTGGACTTGGTGCTAAAAGCCACTCTTTGGTAAATCGGCTACACGAAAGTCTGCTTCACCATTTCAACCTCTCGTCTTGCGCCGGCGGGTATGGATGCATGTCAATGTCGTGGAACACGACCGAGAAGCCTCAAATAACCTTAGTCAGATTACACCACACCATGTACACTTTACGTTCGAAAGAAGCTCGATAAGTTAACCGCTGGACACTGACAGACCTGATCTTCAACTACTCCAACGAAAAAGTGGGTGGCAGTTTTTTTTAACTTGTCCAGCAAAAGAAGGACAAATAAACCCCCTGTAAAGTTCAGTTGGTGGAGACCTCTCTTTGAGCTTGTTTCAGCCCTAAGATCGGGTCGCCAATCGTGGCCGCTCAGGGGTTAAAACTCAAGGGGGCGCGGCGCATGGCCGATGGACAAGATGATCCATTCATCAGGAACCGACGACAACCAACACACGGCAGATGAAAACAAAGGAAATCGATGGCGGTAGGGTTCAGACACATTGGCTCGGTCATATCAACCGTCATATCGCCGTCTTCTACAGCGAATGCGCGCGTCTAAGGATGACGGTTTGAGCGCTTAGAGGTGTCCTCGACGAGCAGAAAGACTGGATCATTACTAACAAAAGCAGCAAATAGTCTTCCTCCTAATCCCTCGATGATCACCATAGGGGGATCTACTCGTCAGTCAGAGGCTATTCAAGCCTTAACGAGCCCCCTTACCTCACAAACACTTCCCATTTTGACTACGCTACACGGGCTACATACCTCCGTCGTACTTGTAAACATCCATTTTTCACATACATCCCATCCCATAGCACAGCCCGGGCATAGCATCCTACGGTTTCAGACTTGACTTTCCGCAGATCACCAGGCCTTGCAAGCTTTCGCTCCTAGGTTGTCCTTCCAACCTTCCATTGCATGAGCGTTGCGGAGCGCACGCCCGGCCGGGATGTTATAGAATTTAGGCCGAGCTAGCTTCCCAGGCTGCTGAGACTCGGACTCGGACCCTGGACCCCGGACCCGGGATCTGGTAGTGTACATCGGAGGATGCATACGAGGCGAACCGTGTCCCCCCGTATCGGGAAGGTAAGGTAGGTTTACCGCCCACGGACCTCGTTTCAATACCTCGAGGTGTTTATACGTTCCGTACAGACCCCGTTCGTCATTGCCGTTCATCTCTTCTCCTTTCACCGTTCGTTTCTTCGTTTCTTCTAGAAAGCGGGCCATCGGCCGAGCTAAGAGGTACCGAGCGAACCGGATCGCCAGGACTAGCAACGAACGGGACTTACACCGCTCTTGCTATGACTCGGGTCGCGCGACCAAATTCCTAAACGGTTCGTATGGCGAACGTTCTCGTGTAGAAACTATTATTCTGCGCTGTGTACATCGAATCGCACGAGGAACTGATCCGGGAAATTGTTGTTCGCTGCATGTTACGAAATCCAACCTTTGTCGAACTTGCGCTGTGGTGAATAAATCCAGGCACAACGAATGCGGAAGCAACGCGATGACCCATAGAATATGTGTGGTGCCTGCAACCTCTCTGTCTCTTCATCCCTAGTAAACAAAGGTCTAAACCAATATCCCTCATACCTTGTACGCCGTATTAATCAACAAAGAGAATAAGAAGAAAAGCGTAGTAACGAGGAATGGGTCGTCATGAGTAGTTGATAATCTTCCCTCTTTTCCCCGGACCCCCCAATCCCAACCTATTACACTCGAACCAATCCACGACACATAATATCATGTCGTCCTGTCCCGTCCCTTTTTCGCGTTTGCGCCGCCCTGTTCTTTAAACAGTTCCGCTGATACTCAGCTCCCTGATCTCCTGCAACACCTGCTCGACCCTGGTATCTAGCTGGCCCTGGGCGTACTGCTCCCGTGTATCTGGATCGAGGTACTGCTGTACTTGGGCCATGCGGCTGTAGGCTTCGGCGCAGAATCGGAGCTGGATCTTGACGAGGGCCTCGAACGACGGGTCGAGATAGGGCACGCGGAGGTCGATAAGCTGCGGTAGCTCGGTGCACAGCTGCTCGTTGAGCTGCTCGTAGGCTGCCTTGGCCATCTCCATCTCCTTCTCGGCGCGCGGGAGCTTGGTCACATCCTTGTCGGGCTTCTCAACCAGTTTCTTCACTTTGGCGCGGAGGGCATCGTAGTCGAGAAGTTTGTGGCCGCGCTTCTTGATGCCTATTTTTGGGGTTGTGGTGGTCAGTTTATGCACAAATGAGCGGGGTCGGGACATAAAAGGGGAAGAAGGTGTTTCGGAAAGGTAAGGGCAATCAATTGCCCAAATGCCAGGGAGATGAAGATGTGGAGACGGCCGAGACATACATTCATTAACGTCAGGGAAGTAGGAGCAGAATCTGGAAATCGGTTCTAGGACTGTTGTTCGGTATGGCCCGTCGAGGGCTTTGATCGTCTCTGCATCGAGGTCTTCCACTGCTTGCTTGTAACTCCGGCTGACTCCATCTTTAGCACCGGCATCGCCGTAAAATGCATCGATGGTCTCGGCGATGCGCATTTGTGAGGCCGTCATTGCTTTTGCAGAAAGTTGCCGTTAGCTCACATGTTCAGTCTGGCATACCGACGGGAGAGATCTGTTGTCATACCTCGTAGTGAATCGAGATAGCCCTTGGCCTCTTTTTGTAGTCGTAGGGATGCCGCCTCCATAGTCTTGAATCGTCTGCATGTGAAAGTCGCTTAGTCCAGGTCCTCCCCCGTTTCGAGTTTCCCATCAGAACAGAGGATGGCCATACCTCTCCTCAACCTCATAATCGCGATCGTTGGTCTTCTCGACATGACCCGTCTTCATCATCACCTGGGTCGTTGCCCGGTTGACATTCTTCTTGAAGCCTGTAAACAAAAACGAAACAAGCGGTACCCGTTAGCATTGTCGCATCAGGGGCTATAGGCTATGGCGGGATTTGCGCGTACCGGCCCACGACATGATGGCCGAGTTGTTCCTGTCGCTTGGTGTCTGGCGTTGGTGACTCTTGTCTGTGTATGTGGGGGATCGCCTGACTGATGGTCCCGTTCAATCGCCGCAATTACTCGGAAGGTGGTCGTCTGAGTTAATGATTCGTCGCGGATTGGTTTGTCGCTCGGTAAGAATTAGGATATTATAAGTCGATTCGTATGTTGACCGGCTAAGTGGCTCGGGGAATGAGTTGATGTCGGCGTTTGATGTTTATGGCGGACTGGCGATGTTTGGAAGCTTGGAGAGCAGTTGTTGCAGGATCCTTGCCAGTTGCGATGTGCCTGGACATGGACGAACGAAAGGGGTGACGACGTTGGATGTGGCTGTGCTTGCCGCTGCCTGCCAGGAAGACACCTTCAATGGAATGTGATTGGGTGCAAATCCGGACGACGTCAGCGGGGTCGACTCGCCAAGCCACAGAAGCCTTGGCTTACAAACTCCATCGGGCCGCTGGCAGACCGCGACAGGTGCGAACCGAAGTTCGACGGCTTCCATTTTCCCCAGAGTGATCTCCATCGGCCCCGTCTCCGATTTCCATGTCCGTCCCGGAGGCCTGGGCCATCAATATCGGATATTCGGTCTGTCACCAAGCTCAGAGCAGCAGCTTGCTAAGATCAATCGACTCTAAAATCGGGCTGTGTTGAACCCGTGAGACCGGACACTGCCGCAGGTCATCTTCCCCCGTTGACTCATCCCGGCGTAGGTTAACTGTGTGAAAGCCTCTCATCGAAGAGAGTTGTAAAAAAGCGTAGGTCCCGGTTACTTTGAAATTTCTCTCCTTTCACTCACTTACATCACATTTATTTTCCCTGTCATCAACTCATTCCTGTCCCTCCTTTTTCCCCGATCAAAAATTTCGTCGAAACAGCCAATCTGCGTCACCAAAATTGATACACACAAAGTCCATCACCAAGCGCGGCACTAAGACGGTGAAATGGCCCAGCAGAACACAGTTCGACAGCAACCCTTAAACTCAGGCTCAAAACAAAAACCCTCCAGCCCCGAAACCCACGACAAAGACATGGCATCCCTCAGACGTTTTCTTGTCGTCAGTCTCGGCAACCCGGGAGAGTACCGGGACACCTATCACTCAGCCGGCCACATGGTCCTCGAATCATTCCAGAAAAAGCTCCCTGAAGCCCTTGGACAGCCATCGTTTACCTCTGAACGTTACGGAAAGAAAGCTGTTCGCACTTCCGCCGGATCAAAGTACACTCTGCTACAGAGTCCTACGCTCATGAACATCACCGGACCTTGGCTGGCCCGGGCATACAAGGATTTCATGGTCGACCAGGGACTGAGCCCGGAAGAGGTCGGGCTGGTGCTGGTCCACGATGACTTGGAGGAAGAGCTGGGTGTTGTCAAGGTCCGGCAGTGGAAGGCCAGCCATAGAGGCCACAACGGCATCAAGAGCGTTCTGGCCAGTCTGCCTCCAATGCCCGACGCCAAGTGGGCACGCGTATCAATAGGCATTGGGCGGCCGGAGGATAGGGACAGGACCACTGTCTCTGACTTTGTCCTCAGCAAGGTCCCAAGGCACGCAAAGGGGATATTGCAAGATAAGGGTGGGAGCGGATTGTGGGAGGCACTCGGCAAGCTGGAGACGAAATGGAACAAATGAAGAGGCCGCTGGTGACGAAGAGCACGTGCGAGAGATCTGTGCCGTTGTTGGACGCGAGTGAGTTAAAGATAGACTATGATACCCCATTTCCAATGATTATCGTTTCAACTCATGTCAATGCTGACGTTCTTGAAATGAAAAGCATCTACTGCGTGAGGGACACCGTGAACCAACTTGGCTAATGAAAAACAAACATAGCTTATCTAACTGCCTATATGTACTAACATCCACACACACAGCCAAGCAACAGGAAAAAATACATGCGAACTCTATTCAACTCACACCTGGTCGAATCCAAAGCTTTTGTTCACGATATCAAAAAACGTCCTCACCACCCGTTCAACCTCACCTCGACTGTCGAACACCTCTACTCCCCCTTCCCATGAATCTTACCCGGCAAGAACAGCGGCACCTCCATCGGCAACTCGCCATGCGGCCTAAACGAATCAATCGCCTCCGAAATATGTCCCACCCCGTCCCCCTTCTTCAGAACGGGCCTTCTCGTGAAAAATATCAGCATATCCCTCGTCGCCTCCTTGGTCTCATCAACCGGCAACACGGGACTCAGACTATGTTTATTCTCCGTATCCACCAACAACAAGGTATCCAAAAAGTGCCTATGCTGCACCCTACTCTTCAGATGTTGCGGTTTGATCTCGGTATACTTGGCCCCCGTCTCCTCGTTCATATCATGCATGTACGTCACCGCGCTGTTAGCTTCCACATCCATGTTTTCGGCCCCCAGGTACGTCGTCATGGTGTGATCCACCCCGTCGGTGTGCACACCCTCGAGCGCCGGCTCGCCGAGGATATGGGGCGTGGTGACGGTGCGCAGGTTGAAGAGCGTGCAGACCCATTTATCGGAGGAGTAATCAAGTCGAGGCCGCTGCGTGGTCGAGACGCCGTGGCAGATCATCCCCTTGAAAACCAGCAGCGCTTGGAAAGCGGTGTTAAGCTGTAATTCGTCTTGGACTTCGTCGAAGATGCGGATTTGCCCGGAGTCGTGCCGCTTGAAGTCCTCTTCTACTGACAAGGCAAAGGGTTGGAACTCCAGGCGGCGGACGGACTGACTGGAAAAGTCGAAGCAGAAACGGCCGTTGCGCGAGCGCCGGAAGGGTAAGGTTGGGTCGGAGTAGAGGTTGTTGGAGACATGCTGCAGGCGGTCGAGGTCGGAGGGCGTGGCGCCGAGGCCGAGGAGGAGGGAGACCATGTCGGACCCTTCGACGAAGATGGAGCGGTTGGTGATGTATTTCGAGCGGAGCTTCATGATCTCGGCGACGGCTTGGTAGTACGACGGCTTGAAGACTTGCTTGGTGACGTCCAGTTGTGGGCGGATGGTGGTGGGTGCAGGTGAAGGTGTCCAGGTGGGAGGGAGGTTGGCGATGGGGTCGGTTGGGTTGATGGAGCGAGCGGTCTCGACGGAAGCACGGGATTGTGGGGTTTCATGGTAGAGTCTATGGAGTTGGAGGCGAGTGCGGCTGGCTTGGATGGAGCGGAGAGATCTAGTGCTGGCTCGGGGGAGCTGTTTAATGGCTGTGGAGGTCAACATGGTGAGGTATTGGAATGGTGTATGACTCGGGACTGATGATGAAGAGCAATGCCGGCTTGCCTTGAAGAATATAAGCAGCGTTAAGGGGTAGATATCTACAGATCTCACCCCTTGGTGGCTTCACGACATTGTGAGCCGGATTTTCTACATCAGCGACAACCGGAGAGCGGAGCACTTCTTCTTCCCAGCAGATTACTGTGACGGATCTTACGATTTTGTTCACCTCACGCATTGTATGTGGCGGCATGAGCTGGAGTCTCGGTAAGGCTTGAGGCCTTACTGTGCAAGTCCACGCACGATTATGTCGCGATCATGAATCATTCTCTGAGTGTCTGCCCGAGCACGTTCTCAATGAGAGAGGAGACCTTCACTTCCGCGTTTCAGACTGGGCGAACCAAAAAGGAGACTTGTTCAAATTCACTCAGAACCTACTCAGAGTAGCTGCCGAGAGTCATCATATCACTGTATTGGTCGAGGCACCACCACATGCCGGATCGGGGTGCAGAGACTTACTCCTTCATGGCCTCATGTCCATACCCCTGTTGCCATTTCGGCGCTTCAATGGATTTATTACTACATGTAGACAAAACGCCAGTACTCCTGGTCAAAAACTTCTTGTAGCACACCTGTCCAGGAGTAGTAAGATGTTCTAGAGACAACGAGAATATCGGGGCCGTGTACGGAGGCACGGGAACTTGTGCTGCATACAACGGCAGGGACTCGAACCGTGACTCAACACAGCAATGCATGCTGGTTCTCTGGCGATCCACGGATTACCCAGTTAGTGAGATAAAGAGAAGTCTGCCCAGATTACGAGTTTACGCCCTGCTGGGCATCACGCCTCGTTCAATCCCTGGCGCGGCTCGAGAACTGGGAAGGAACATTGACCTTAATCACAATATGATGTTATATCGGACGAAGTGACGGGCTGAAGATTCTGCTTTGCAATAGTACTGACTTCGCAGAAACAACTTCCGAGGACGGACATGCCGAAGGAGTTGGGAGTCGCCTGGGCAGTCTGGATGGCTTACTGTCGAATCTCTCGTCAGGTCACATGGGTTGAGCGCCGATGACGGATCACCACATGGGGTTTGAAGCAAACTAACTGCCATGGCAAGTGATACCAATAATAGCACTGGAGTTACTGGTTGTTCTTTCCCTCGGAAGAAACAGACGCACCCTGACAGTCAGAGTTTTCACCTCGGTCGAAAGTGCAGTGGTTGTCCTTCTTTCCTGTCTCACGTTTGTGTCCTTTGGCGAAATAGGAAAAAGAGTTCGGCGCAGAGGGGCAATGGTACCTCTAGGAATGATGTCAGTGGAATAAATCATATTTGTCAAATGAAGATCTGTTCCAAATTGAAGCAACGTCTGGGAAACCCGAGTCCTTCCGAACACCATGGGGTAGTATTAGTGATGAGACACTATCTTCATTACACTGTTTCTGCATGCAAGTATGTTAGCCAAGAATCAATCACCACGCTCACCTTCGCGCAAAAATGTCCAAACACCCAAATAGTCTCAAGCATTCAAGTTTGTCATCGACCAATCCACACGATTTGAAGTTGATTACTAGATGCCAAATCAAAGCATGTTCTTTCTGACAATTTGAACCGCCTTGAAAGTAGCCCAGTCTACAACCCGGGTTGTAACCAGCTGCCACACCAACACCCACCATCCTCCTCTTTACCAATCTTCATCCGGCCCATCCACTGTCATGGTCGCCAACCCTTGCTGGATCTTCCAGCCCGCCATCTCAATCTCATACTCAATATCCGGCTGCGCCTCGGCGTAAAGCCAATTTCTTTCCCCCGCCATGCGAAAGTTGAACAAGGCCATCTCATCCGGTACCAACTTCTTCTTCAGCTCCGGATTCCCTGCACAAGCAGCTTCCACACGAAGCTGGATCTCACAGCTCCTATCAAGCAGTCCAAAGAGGAAGCTAGCCTCATCGACTGTTGATCCGACAGTCAATAGTCCGTGATTCAACAATATGGCCGCCTTGGAGTCTTTTCCTAAAATGGAGGCGATGCGTTGCCCTTCCTCGGCAGCAGTGACGATGCCGCCGTAGGTAGTGTCGACGGCTATGGAGTTATACAGGTCACAAATATCCTGGTGCAGCATGTCAAGAGGCTTGCCGAAGGCGGACCAGGCGCGGCCGGCGATGGTGTGAGCATGGCAGATGGAGTGGACGTCTGGGCGGGCTTTGTGAATTTGCGAGTGGATGTGGTAGCCGGGTGCGTTTACGGGGCGTTTCTGACATGGAAAGGAAGGTGTTAGAGACCGAAACCCGACATGGAAGCTGCGGAGCGTTTTCGACCTACCCGGTTCCCACCAACAATCTTTCCGGTATCAATCTCCAGGCAAACCATATCACTCGCATTCATCAGCCCGAAATGCTTCCCGATCGGATTCATCCAGATGCAATCAGGATGCTCCGGGTCACGGACGCTGATGTGGCCGGAGATGCCCTCGGTGTATCCCATGCGCGCCCAGTTGCGGAACACGGCTGCCATGTGCAGGAGGATGTGTTCGCGGTGGAATTGATGGTTCACGAATGTTGGGATGCCCGCCAGAGGGTTGGGACCCATGCTGAGTTCATGGAGCTGGCATTCCGGTTCCTTCTCCACGGCTCCGTCCAGCCGGGGGCTGAATGCCGGAGCCCAAGCCGGAGGGGAGACTATGCTCCCGGCGCCTTTAGTGGCGGTGGGCTCCGGAGCAGGAATGGGACTCGCTATGTCTTCGGACATTATAGATGGAGGTGCCATCGTGTCTGCGAATGTCGAACTCTCTTCGCAAGGGGCAGGAGCGGAGTGACAAGAAAGTCCAAGTCCACGACTAGGGTTGTCGTGTGGGCGAAGCGAAGAAATGCCACTTGAGACGAGGAGCTCGTCGTTTGTCGCTTACATACTGACCCCTCGCCTTCTGCATGCTCCTCCAACTCCTCTCTTCCGTATGCTGCTGCCTTTGATGATGCTATGCCAACTGCGGGGTTGCGACGTGGGGGTGACACTGACCTCCATCCCTATTTCGGATAGTCAGCAAGCCACGGAATGGACATGTCTTCGACAACAGTAAAGGGTTAATACGTAATATGTAATCATACCATGCTATGGAAGTTATGTCCTTTCGTCCAAATACCTACTCGCCTTCCCTTCCCAGAGCCTGGTAGTGGGGAGTCTTCAAGCAACCGGATGTCAGATGGACGCCCTTGATGGAGTTGTGACCGCTGAAGTTTAGGTGCCTTTAGGCCGAGAACCTTGCTGGCCTCTTCACAGTGTACGTTCTTTGGAATGCACTGTTATGGACGGCTGAACGGTTCGGGCCGCTTGGGAAGGCGCATGGGACAAACGGAGAAATCTGCAGGCCGATTGCTGTCTAGCTCGCTTTCCTCCTACCACCGAAATCAATTCTCCTCCATTTTCCTCCGATTATTCTCTGCTTGAATTCTACGAATCGTAACATACACAGCCTCTGCCGAACTCGTCATCGGAGTGACTTTGGACACTGCTTATGTCCGTCACGATGCGCCCTACATTGCGAGCCCTTTCCACCCATCTCCCGATTTCTACGGCTTGCCAACGACCACTGTTCCTCCGTGCGGCAGCATCAAGAAACACTTCTCGACTGTTCTCCTTCCAGGCGGCACTCGCCAGTCCACCACAGGATTTGGGAGCCAAGCCAAAAGTTCCATATGCTGCCTTCAGCTTCGAGCACCTTGGAATCAGCAACAAGTGGAACAAGTACATCATGATCTTCTTCATCACCATGGGTGCCCTAGAGACCTATCTTTGGTACAAATATCTTCCTGCTTGGTGGAAGGCCCGAAGCGACATTGCCACTGAACTCAAGGAAGCAACGTAGCTGGCCCCAGTCCCAGACCGCCAACTGATGCTACACAAGTTGCACAACGTATACAAGTCCACCACGTTTGATCTTCGAGCCTCAAGTCACTGCGCTACAACGGTGTTTTGCCATCTCCGAGTGCCACAACATCGTATCGGTCTGCCTTGACTCGGCTTGCTGCCCCAACAAGGCACTCAAAACGAAAGATCGATATCGACCGCAGTTCAAACGCATCGTCATCTCATCTGCATGCCGTGACTCGCAACATCTTCATCACTATCACCACCTTGACGGTTAGAAATACGGTTCAGGTGCACGGAGAAACCTCGCAGTCATCACCGTCAATGTCACCATCAGAGACTTGCTGCCACGAGTATCGTTGCGCATGGACTTTGTCCCCCTCGCCTAGCCTTCTCAGCTCGAAGCCCGACATCTTGCGTTTGACGAGCAAACAATAGGCAATTACGTCTTCTCATGACCTGGGCGATTCATACGAGGGATGAACAAAGTCTTTGCATCAATGTCAGACCATGCTAGGAATCAACAAGAATCACGTACACGGCCAAGCATTTCTGGCAAAAACTGGAATCGGTTCTCTACTCCTTTTTGTACACAATCTTAGCTCGAGAACTACCCCAGTCCCATGATCACTCCTTACAGGTACTTCTGCCGTCGTTCAAACTCCGCTCGTCGACAAAGCTATTCCAGCACCTTGTTAAAAAGCCATACCCGACAGACAAGATTTTAAAGCTGACACTAGCCGTCGTTCGGCATGTTCCTTATGCGACACCTTACACGACGTTCCCTCGGCATCTTTTGGGCAAAGAAACCGAACTGCAGCATCTGCAGTCCGGCATCAATGTATCGACATCGTCTCACTTACTCTCCCACGCAAGCGCAGGGTTTCTGTTGAGCACGCCATTCATCTTGCCCTTCTACTCCATTTTTGTCCTGGCATTCCTTGCCGCTTGGTCATTTTTCGATGCCGAGATCTTTTGCCAGTGGCATAGCCACTGAACCGGTAAAGGGAGTCAATACTACAGAGCATGTTTGATGATCATGTTCTTCGCCTGTGCTTCTCTCGACATTCTAACTTATTCTATACCCTTGGGAAACAACTGATACTCCTTGAGACATGTAGCTTGAATCGTCTTTCAGTTGTCGAGAGCGTGTGAATAGCTTCATTCTCTGCATGGTGCCCATTTGTCCGAGTCGACAGCATAGGCAGCCTATCGAGTCACAGCGGGCCGTCATTTCAGCAGTGATATTACAGCTACAGCATCTGGTTTTCCCCATGAACGTATTCTGTAGCGTTGCCTACGTGCCCAGGGTACTTAGTCAGTGCTGCTACACAGCAGCTCCCCGTGTTGGATCGAGAGGCTCCGATGCTACGCGGCCTTATGGACCCCCACCTGTCTGCTGCACTTCCCATATTTCCGTTTCGAGCTACACCGAGATTCTCGTTACCTTGGCGTGAGATGATGCGGGCTCACGAGCCTCGCTGGGTTGAGGATACATCGCGATGCCTTCCAGATCAGGCACTTAACTCCGGGGGGTCACAGGGTCTTCCCACAATTGCAAAAAGCAGAGTATTTCTGCTTGACTCTCCCCGTAGGGCTGATGAGAAGCGTCTATTCAAGACCTGGTACTTTGGCCGTTACAACATCACTCGACAGTTGCGACACTTGTCTCGGATCAGTTGCCAACCTACGCAGCAGACAGAACCTCATACTGAATCATGTCTTCGTTGAAGCCGTCCGCTCAACCTTACTCCTTGCCCGACCTCACCGAAATCAAGCTTTCGGTGGAGGATGACTGGACTAAGGTGAAGGACCGGAAAGAAAAGAAGCGCATTCAGAATCGTGTTGCACAGAGAACATACCGTATGTCTTGCGTCCAGATTCTGCCAGTAGCAGTCGCTAATCCGTAACCGAAGGTCACCGTATGAAGGCCCGTCTAGGGGAATTACAACAAAAACTCGAATATCATGAGAGAAATGAGGCGACATCCACGGATGGTGATGCTCCTGGCGTTGGCGATGGCGAGGATACGAACAGGAGCCCGTCTGTACAGCTTCCGACTCCAGCATATACCACAGACAATAGCCCATCTCCGAGGCCCAACGAAGAACTGGCGATGTTTGATGACATCCATTTGCACAACTATCACAGCCCGCACGCTTTCCATACCGATGTCAGCCAACTATTTGACCTTTCACCAATTACAACGCCATTAACTACGCAACCACCCGGGGGTTTTGCTGTAGGGCAATCGAACATTACGGACAGCGGATACAATTCGGCTGTTTTACATGAATATCTACGCCTACACATGCAATCTTTCGACACTCGGCATGATGCAGCTGATGGCCAAGCTAGCAATCATGCCCTTAGTGTCTCTTCCCATGGCGGCGATTCATTCTGTAAGTTCAGGGAAGGCCGATTTGCAGTCGTGCAGTCAACTAACCGTTATTTAAGTGGTTCACAACAGCCCTAATATCGACCCGTTGCTATTTTCCACTGATGGACATGATACAATGCGTGCGGGCTTAACAGAAGGAAACGAAAGCCATATTTTCAACTGGAAAATCCAGTCACCGGCAGCGCCAAGCCTGGAACAAATAGCTCTCTCACCCTCTGCGGCCCAGGACCTGCCTGAGGCGAGAAAGACCAGGACTTCCAACCGTACCACCCGAACTGCACCCGCCGTAGTCAACCACAAAGTTCCTGCACAACCAGCTTCACTGCCCACCAAACGACCTACGCTGGACGAGCGCATGGAAAGTGTCATGGAACGTGTCGAAACAGCAGGCTTCGACAGCTTCGACTCCCTCGCCACTTTCTACTACAAAGCCTCGTTTGGGGATTCATCATCGCTCGCGGTCGAGCAGAGGCTGAGCCGTAATCGGCGCCTTCCCAAGCTGTTTGCCGAAGTTTTCTCGGCCGCTCAGGAGTGGGATGCCCGGGAACAACGACCGCTCTTCGACGAGATCCTTAGAATGTCGGAGGGAATGCTGATCGGCGAGGCGAGAGGTGTCCACAGTACCCTTCATGCTAGCATCGGCGGGTTGGCTAGGTCGGCGAAGGACGAGAGCACGGGGAAAAGTGCCGTCCCGGGGTTGAAGAGGTTGATGGAAAGTAATGTGAGTTTGGTCCACTTTCTTTGTTCACTGCCATCCAATGTCATTCATCTTGAACTACATGTTGGCCCATGCTAACATGTCCGATCCAGTTACCTAACCTTTGGGCCCTAATGACTGCTTTGGCGACGGAAAACCGAGCAGTGCGACAGAGAGATCGTTCGAATACGGTACTGGCGACGATACTGTTATTGCAGTGCTCTGGTCAACTACCAAAAGAGAGTCTCATGGCTTTGGTGGATGCTTGCCTTTGAGGATTCGCCGAACTGGGCGTGGTTATAGTCCGGTCATGACTGAGAGGATGCTGAATAAGGTTAGAGGTCGTTAAAGAACCGAAAGGTTGGACAACCGAGGAAAGGAGACGCAATACTCTAGCATCGCGATAGCATTTAAGATCCAAGAACCTTGTTGACCTACTGTCCGACCAAGATATCACACAAAGAACGGGGGGAAAAGGTCTGGAGAGAGACATAGGCAATGTTTAGATACCTTCGATCTCCAAAGAGAGCCGAGAATATACCCAGTCATGTCACCAAAGGCTTGAGACAGCAACCTCGTTAGGCAATTCAAGGAAGATTGCATACGGATGCCAAAAATTACTTCTACCTACCAGCGCTCTTCTCATCATCATCAACTTCAAGTTCCGATCCCGTACCAGCCTGGCCCCGGAGTTAGAATCACCAAGTACCTATTTGAGTAATCCGGAGACACCATATTCCTAGCAGTTACTCATATCTCATATAATACATGGTGGCTGAGTTATGGTTCTGCGTATGTAACAGAACATCAACCTCATTCCGCCATAAAGTACAGTGTAACATGCCATCAGATCGGCTTCAACTGTCTTACTATCCCAACAATCTAAAACCAGAGCCTCTGTAACGGCTCATTACCGTGATGATCCAAATTTTCTCATTGAACAAAATCCTCTCCTAGCACATCAGCAGCGGCAGTGAGCACGTTTAAACTTTCTTTAGTGAGACACTCGTCCCTCACCTAGATGCTCTGCCACTGTCACTGTCACTGTCAGTGTCAGCGTCAGTGTCAGCGTCAGCGTCACCGTCACCGTCAGCGTCACCGTCAGCGTCACCGTCAGCGTCAGTGTTCTTATTACCGTTACTTCCATTGTTACCATTGTTACCATTGTTACCATTGTTACCATTGTTACCATTGTTACCATTGTTACCATTGTTACCGCTGTTACCGCTTGTACCACTTTCTTCAACTGGTATCCTTACCGTTCTTGTACAGTTTTCCCGCCGTGATACTTATGCCAAGGGTACAGTATTATGAAATATCATACACCGGTCAGTATCCAAAGTTACATACAAACTCCGAAACCTTGCAGCTTACCACTGGAACGAATTTCCAGACAACGGCAGGCGGACCGGGCACCTGACGAGGAGACGCTGGCAAGAGAGAGTATTTTCCCCATGGGGTTGTCAAGCCGAAGCCCGGTTGGAAGGACGTAAGCGAAGTCGGCATGAAAATTGCGACATATTTTACCAAACTACATTCCAATTCTCCATGCTGATCATCGAGACGTTCATGGAAGTTCCACCTGGGATTTTGGAATTGTCCGCCCTGGTCTAGCCATGTGCTCGTGCTGGCTGTGTTCGGGAGCAGTGGAGTGGGGCTGAGTCCCCGCCTGCAATGAGGCAGCCCCAGGCTACTAATAAGACAGCTTTAGCGCACCATGTTAGCGAATTTGTGGCCATTGTTAGCAAGCCAGCGGGTGGACTGCGGAAAAAAAGGCAGATCTCGCAGGGAACTACGTGGAGCTACTAGCACTAACACCCCATAGCACTAACAGAGGCAGAGACAGATGCTCTGCCACCCACCGTCTTCACAGCATCACGGCATTTATGTCAGCATGCAATCAGACCTCATGTGAACTAATACATATCAAAGAAAAATGCTCGGCTAACATACAACGAAGAGAAAGCAAGTGAAACGCTTTGGGGAATGTAGCCAACCATCACGTCAACTTTTGCCTTCGCTATCCTCTCGCCTCATCTTCATTGAGCGAGTGTCCGCCCAAAACTGATGCGCACCCAACAAGCAATAATCCGCCTTGAAATAGCAACGGCACGCTTGGTTGGTCTTGGTTCGACTTCTAGCTGGCTGGATGTGTTTCTCTGGCTGAAGCAGTCGAATTCTCTGTCTGAAGATTCGGACGTGGTGTGTGTGCATATGTCTGTATCTCGGGCAAACGAGCTGCTCCCCACGACCATCTGTCGGAATCCTAAGCTGTGACGTGTCAGTATACGGATCAGGTTCTCAAGGGCTTGAGTGCCTTACAATGATTTAGGAAGTATCCATGGAACCTCCATTGTCACCATTGTCACCATTGCCACCACCATCACCGTTGTCGCCATCTGTGCCCAACGAAAGAGATCCAAACATGCCTGGTAACCCGCCCTGAGACGGGGCGCCGTTGTCGGAGTCCATAAGGGCGGCGTCCTCTTTAAGTACCTTTACGTGGGCTACAGAGTCGAGCCATTCCTGAATATCGGTTTTGCTGTAGGGACCCTCCCTGAACAATTTTGTCTGCCCAAACTCCGGAAAATTTGGAAGTTGATATTTGTAAACGCTATGTGTCTCGTAGATGTGATTCCTGACGATATCATTTGCCCAGGGCCCTGTGGTAATGGAACTCCAGTAATCGTTGAACCTGCTTCTGGCATAAGCCTGCGTCTCGTCGTCAAGGTCAAGCTGGATAATGGACGAAGAAAGCATCAGGTTGTCCAGCGTCGAGGTACGTGCAACGAGGATATGAACCCTGAGAAACAACTCTGGATGGCCGAGAAGTAAAGATAGTAAGGAGAAGTGTGAATTATCACTTGGCATACTGCTCGGTACGATTCTGTCCTCAACGAACTTTAGGGCCTTTTCGCGCTCGGAATCGCTCCAAAACCAAGCTAGCGACTCGCTGATGAAATCAAGAAGGTTGATCATTGTGTGTGGATTACCACCCTCTACAATAAACATGATTAAGAGGGAGATGATGTCGCGGGCCAGAGTTGAGTCGAGGCCGCTGGCTTCAGTAAGCCGAAGCAATTTTTCCTCGGCCTGTTTATTACTCATTTTTATGAGTTCGTGGGTGAGCATCATGGCGCTTAGGCCTTTATCGATCGCAGTCGGCGCTGTATTATCTCCCATCATGGAATCTGCAATGGAAAATGGTCAGCATCTGGTAATAGTAGTGGCAGAGTGGTCTACACCAAGGTAGTCCATACCGTCCATGACGATCTATTGGTCTTTGTTTGAGAAGTGAATGAGCGGGCTGACCGAAGAGGCTCATGGGCTTATGGAAACAGCGTCAAAATGGTGGATATTTTGATGTCGAAGGTCACAAGTCGGGGTCCAATGTTAGTAGTGGGTCTGAAATACGTTCGGTATGTCAAATGCGGGTAATCGATGTGTTGTCGAAGATGGAAATGGTAATCTGAGAGATGCTCGGGGAAGAGTCGAAAATATGAGTCTGATGGAAGTGATCAGGGGTTGAGAAAAGGAGAAATCCGGAGGCGAATGAAGCGCGAGTCTGATGGACTCCGGCAATGAAGGTTTGTTCCACGGGAAGGAGACAGTTGAAGGTTTGGTGCAGGAATGAAACACTGTATTATGGAGAATCCCAAAGCTGACCAGACAGGATTTACCTTCCTCCAAGAGCTAGCCCAGTGTGCCTTCCCAGAGGTCATTGGCCTATAAACCAGTAACAGACTGGTAACGAACCAGAGATAATGGTTCGGTCCTGCCTATATGCCTGACTCACTTGCGATTTGAAGAGAGTGGGTTTGTTGAGCAACTGTTTTCATCAAGGGAGGTACAACGAGCAAGAACAAGCACCCACATCCCAACCTCCGTACCCGCTCAAAGCTTTGAGCTCCAGGTCAACCACACGTACTTTCCCTTCTCAACATACGACGTAAACCGCAAGTCCAACGGTCTCGCCCTCACATCCGGCGGCCCCCCCTGCACGCTCGCCATCAAGCCATACAGTCCATACCGCAGACACTCGACTCCAGGAACTCCATTCGGGAAGGGCCAGATCTACCGACAATCATCAGCTGCCAGCTCTCAATTCATGGTTTCCAAAGTCACCTGCATCATACACGGAACGGCTAGACGTGACCAAGAAAAGAAAGAACAAACTCACCCCAAAGACATACCCGCCCCTGCCCTTCTCACAAACGAGCGTCGTTCCCAACATCTCGCAAGGACCCGCCTCCTTGCTGGTGAGAGTAAACTGCGTAGCTCCTATTGAGTCTCCATCCTTGCGCAGGGCGATAAACGTGCCGCAAGAGTACTCGTCGGTGGTCCAGCGTCCAGAAGCCGTGAGGCAGCCAAGATCGTCGTGGCTGCTTCCGTCCCAGAGGGTGCGGATTTGGCCAATGCCTGACCAGCTTTTGCTGGTGAGGTTGCTGGAACCGCGACTGGGAAGGACGGATCTGGGGGCGGAGGCGGGAATGAGAGGGGCCGCAGTGGAGATAGTGAGGAGGAGGGTGAGGAAGGTGACGGTTGTTTGTATGAGGTGGACCATTTTAGTTGATGTTGCAGTTGCTGTTGAGCAGATGATCGGCAAGCGTCACCGTCGAGTGTCGTTGCTTGTGGAGTTGTCCCACGGGGATGGTTCGAAGAAAGGGGTAAGGGAAGTTTGGGGAAAGAGGGACCTGATGCAGGGAAAGGAATGAAGCAATGTAGCAGCGGGTTTATGAAGCCAAATAGTAGGGCAGTAGTAGCGTGTCTGCTTTGGGAATTATGGAGGTGATTTGATGTCACTCGATGACCGTTTTGAGGCACAAAGATGGGGTTCGAGGCTGTGATCCCGGGAGGCGGAACTGCCCAGTATTTAAGCCTGGGGAAACAACCACGATGGATCTCAACTGATCCTTCCTTGCAATGGTCCCCATCTTGATTGTGTGGTAGGGGAAAAGGGAGGAAAGAAGTCCGGAACCCATGATGGCACACTCCGTGAAACCCCCTACCCGCTCAGGAAGGGTCGATGTCGTTGGTTCCCCCAAGCAACCTCAGGAGTGGGCCAGCCCATCAGGTGCGAGATGCTTCAAGCTCGCATGTAGGTGGAAGGGACATTCGCCAATGAACCGAGGCTGTGACGGAGTGGCTCTGACACTTCCCATCAATTGGTAAGAGTTGAATCATCATCCAACGGTGCATCGCGTGGAAAACTGGAAAGTGCCCCAAGCTCCAATCCAATATCCAAGTAAACAAGCAGGTACACCTTCCAGACCCCCTCCCATACGTTATCCGACCGGAAAGCCCTACCGCGGTTGGAAGGTTGAAACGCAAGCGGATGGCACAACTTGACAATGGAAGGTACCGTGGGGAAAACCGAGAAGGATGACTGGTAGAAGAATGGCTGGGTGGCACACACAATGCGTCCAACCGTGTGGCTTTCCTTGGCTTACACCCGCGGTACCTATGGCCCCGCATTCTTCATTGCCGTTTGAGGCACTGTCGGAAGATAAATGACGGAGATGGCGGACCAAGGAAGGTGTTAGGTGAGACATTTGGCACACCCACCAACAGGACGGGCTACATTAATTGATAGAAGTCACGAACCTCCTTCCAATTCTTCGCGCCGCATGTCCGATAAAGAGGCGTGAGAGGGTCCTTGACAGTGATGGACAACGTGGGTAGCTGTTGAAAATTGGGCTTATTCCCGGAGATCTAGAAATCTATAAGCCTCGCATGTGACAGAGATCGCCGTAGATGTCGTTTAAAATGCTGACCTTTGGGTGTCCTTTGGGCGCGAGAGACGGATAAGCTCAACTACCGCTCAGTCTTGGCGTCTGTGAGGCCGGTAGATCGCCAACCAAGAACCAAAGGATGAAGAGTTTTGGTTCTTGCACAAGCGGAAATTCGGCAAGGGGATAACAAAGAAAATGGTAATGGGCCATATAGCGTGTTCAGCGGCACGCAATGCAGCTCATTACTCGAGCGGACACAGAACCCATGGACCACATTGTACGGAAAAAATGATGATCTGATGAGGGTCTGAGAAGAAACACCTGAAGGAAGTAGCAGTGAACGGATAGCAGCATGACCTAATGTTTGAGAAGCTCCTTCATATAATCCTCAATGCAACCTGAACTTCCATCACCTTCCCCAATCCACTCAACCGACGCAGACAAATCGAAAAGCAGAGTGGGATGTACATCCCCAGAAAGGAAGGTGTATCGCGATTTCGTGATGAGGCTCACTCACTTGCAGATTTTCACCACCCAGCAGTACCGGAAAGACAAACAGCGCCGTCTGTCCCTCAATATCATGAAATACCAGTCCATCAGAACGAAAGCCAACTTCAACATAGTCCACACACGCAAACCAACCCCCAACTTATGATCACACTACCCGCCACCGCTTCCCATCACATCCCTCCACATGTATCGAATAAAAGACAAACAACGCCGGATATCCGTCAATATGATACACTCCTTCCACAATATCACCAAAACTATCAGTCGATGAAAAGAGAATAACGATACCTAGGTGGCAATGGACTCACGTCCATCCACAAACCTACATACCCGCCAAACTTAGACCTAGAACTAGACCGTATGGTGGGTAGCAAACAACCGCCACCACTCCGACCACTCCCCCATCACCCGCTCAAATAACCCTCAAAACCTCCTCCCTCAACCCCACCACCACAAACTCATTAATCAACAGCGCCAACTGCTGCTCATACGTCTCATGCGCGAGCCTGATTCGTTCCTCCACCAGCCCATCAATCCTTTGCTCCTTCTGCAGATCCAGCATGCTGCTCATATTGGTGTTACCATTCGCGGCGGAGGAGGCTTCCGACGCCGCTGATGCCGCGGACGGGTAGAAAAACACGTTCTGTCGCCGGCGTCGGTTATTCTTGGCTTCTTGCTTGAGTAGGCGCAGACGGTCTTCGAGTTCGGTCTTCAGATTCTTGCGGCGGCGGATGAAGGCTTCGAGAAACTTTTTGAGCTGGATGTGCCGGATTATGTCGGCGCGGGTGAGGGCGTTGCTGGCGCTGCCGGTGAGGTTGGTTGGATCATCCGGGGTGGTCGAGTTAGTGGTGCTGGTGGTCGCGATGCTTGTTGGGGGGAGAAAGGTGGTCGGGCTGTTGAGAATCTTGTGTGTGTCGTTGATGTTGTCGTTGCTCTCTTGATGAGGAGGTTTGTTGTAGTTCAAGATACTATCAGAGGCCCGGCTCTGTGGATAAGTGGGCGAGCGCTTTGGTTGCAGTGATAGTGGTTTGATGTGGCCGATTCGGAGGGCGCTTGGAGGTTTGATGTCGGAGAAGTGCCTCCGGAAACTGCGCGGTCTCTCGTCCCGAGGGTAATCTGGGTGGTCCATGTGCGGACTTTGGCTGTTAATACCATCAAGAATGCGTACCTATGGTTACCACGATGGATGATGAGTTGAGGTATCCATACCTTTCCGAGGTGTGCGAGTCTGTATCCATGGCGCTGCGCAACGGAATGCGGGACCTCGAAGTTTGGCGAGGATATGGGAGTTCCGGACGACAGCAGCCGATATGAAATTGAAAAGGATTAATTGTGTGAGCAAAGTGGTTTGCGGAAGATTCATAGATCTCTCATGAACGTACAAAAATGCAGGTGTTCTTTCCTTGCAATTCCGTGCTACATCAAGATCGCATCGAGTTCTTATGATCATGACGTCTTTTCAGACAATCCCGGCTTCAACGACCATCATGGTAAAACAGAAAGGTCTTGTCAACCTCTGCAGCAAATGCGTATATTGGTCATGGATGCATGAAAAACAGTGGGATACTCTGTGTGGCCTCTGCAATGCTGGAGCATGTATGTGACGGTCTGTAGGTATTCCTTCGCCTGACGTACAAGTACCTTGTGCGGTGTCAGATCATTCCTGCGTAGTTGTTCAGTAAACACTTGACTCGGAAACGCTGGATAGCAAAGCTTGGGAATGGGATCCTTTGGAATGGGCTACCTACCAGACCTCTCGCAACAACCTTCTTCACAACGGCCAGCTCAATATCGCCCAAGATTTTTATCATAAAACTGAGCGGTGTCGTGAGATACATCTATTCAAGCCTTTGATCTTGTGAATACCTCATGTTCAGATTCATGACCCACGATTGACGGTCCGGGCCCACATATAAAATCCCGATTCCATGCTACTCTCGACGTTCACCTTGGCTGACATTGCTAACGAAAAGTCTATGTTTTTTGCCAGTTGTCGATCCGACCTACTCTTCCATATACAACCCCATCTCGTGGATTTGGGAATTGCCTTCCAGTTCATGAACAACTTTGTGCAACATGTCCTCTGTAGGCATAAGTTGCAGAGCTTGCAGAGTTTGCAGGCGACTGAGCAGGACTGTGGACCCTTCCAGCTCGTGGATATCTTTGTACAAGAGGTCCTCCAGAGGTCTAAACTGCCAGCAACTAAGATTGACTTCAATTGAAAGGGTCAGGTCCAGTAATGGCTGGCCCATGAACTCATCGCTAACCAATTCGCAGGTGTAGTTCCCCCACCACTCGCGTAACATAGCGGGTCGTCCAACGGCAGCAACCCCAACAACTGCCTCATCCATCTTATTTGGTTTCGACAAGCATACAAGCGTCAACCATGACATGACTACTTCATAGTCAATGCGACGACTATCCTGGTTTTCCTTGGGTCTTCCCAACCCAGCCGCGATGTCGTTGCCATCTTCTTTTGCCAAATAAACAGTTCTTGTCCAATCCAACAATATGCACGAGTAGGAACCTTGTGAATTCCTAAGAATCGTGTTTCGACCCCATACCATAGCAATCAACGGTGGCCTTGTGTATCTGTTCTGGACTAATAATTCTACTTCTAATACTATTGTTCCGCAGGCTTCAAGACAATCCGAAGTCTCTGGGGTGTCTGTCTTTTCTAGGAACACAGGTCTCCAAAAGCTTCGGACAGTTCCACCCCATTGAGGTTCCCCATAGAGAAGCCTGCCTCCTGTTCCAGGGACTTCCACTGGCGGAGATGGCCAGGTTTTTACTATACAAGACTCTCCGCGAGATGGAGCGGGTATGCGTTTGATGTTAAGCCTAACAGCGGGAGTCCATGACCTCATGGTGTTAACGCCCATACTGGGAAGGCTTTCATCAGAGACACCATTCAGAGCTTGGGCTGGTTTCCTAAAGTATATTCGGACGGTTCTGCGCTTTGCCTTTCACATGTCGAATTCATCTTCGACGATAGTTAAGGCCTCTTGTGTTCGGACGTCAACGTGACACCTGATCACATTTCCCAAAGTTGGAGTTACTCTGGACAGATGTGGAGTGGCAGTTCGGTAGAATTGGTCGGTTGGGTTTGCGGATTGAACAGGCTCCAGGACCATGGCGGGGCAAGACATCTGTTCTGAACCAAAATTACAGAACAAAACACCAAGAAATACGCTCTGAGAATCCGGCCTGAGCAGGGGGACACAGATATAGGGGTATTTCCAACATCTTTGCGAATGGTGATAATGCAGTAGTCGTTGAACCATGCGAGAATGGGAAATCAACTTGGTAAATCGGTCGAATATCGTGAGACATATGGTAGTCTCTTGGTGATTCCGCTAGTAGATCGTGTTTATGATGCGTACTGTGCCTAAAGGCAAGGATTGACTGGTCATCAGAGTCCTTGAGGATCTCCTGTTGCAACCGGAAGAAAGCTTGAGAACCCTCCCCGTAACGTAACTGCATAGTGACGCCAAATATTCCAAGTAGGAAGTAGGCTTCATCCTCAAGCCGCTTAGTTGACCTGTGGGATGCCCAAGAAAACCTCTGGGAAACACTACATCGATCAAGGTAGGTTCTAAGGTCAAAGGACCAAGGGTTGTTAAGCCTTGTTACCATGTCATCCGGTAGCCCTGTTGCTCCAACTATTTTTTGTGCCAGAATCCGCTCTTGTCTCTGACCTATGCGTCTCCATGCATTGTCGTAAAACACCACCATTGATGGGGCGATCAGCTCTTGTAAAGTCCATCCTATTGTAAACCAGCGACTGTGGACAATTTGAACAGAGGGACCACCTTCATAGGTGACATCCGAGACATAAGCGTAGCAAACTGATGAGTCCTTGTACCACTGAAACATGGAGTTGATGGCTTCGGAGAGCTCGACACTGCTGCTTTTGTTGATGCAACAGGTATCAATCCACACCCATGAGTATCCGACAACCATGGCTTGCACAAAGCTTCTTTGGACCTTCAACCATCCGTTTTTGCGTTTTCTAGAACGCTTCTTAGCGTCACAGATGTCTTCGAACAAGATCTCTTCGTCTTCCCATGTGTGTGAAAGGATGGCGTAGTCTGAGACATTTCGATCGCAGAAAGTCGTGAGTTGCAGCGTGTGCACATTGAGAAGCTGCATGACTCTTGAGCGCTCTCTGGTGGCGACAGTATTGCTTTACGTCGAGAGGGGATAGTCAGTCGGTGAAGAATAAGTCGCTGCAGTTTGGGACAAGTGTTGTTAGAAAGGTGAGAGGTAAAATCTGGTCAACTTCCCTTCTTCTCAGCTGAGGGGGAGCGACACATATGCGGACAGCGCCACGCAGCCTTGCGGTTATCGTATTAACTCATTTGGTAACTGATGTACTACCGAACGTTTGGGCTACTGCACCTCTTAACTCCATGGCTTGCACATTGGGCGCCTCCAGCCTGGCGATTATTTGCTCATATCAAGTTGTTCGTGTCCAATCGCGGGCCTCGCAACGAATACAAGAGAGAGTCGCGAAACTGGCCAAGAACTGTCCGGTGCTCAAAGAGGGACAGCTGTTGGCCAGTTTTTCGAGTTTCTACCTACGGTAGGGTAGTGTACCAATAAGCTGACATGTCACCGAGACACTATCCAGCAATCAGTATCTAGACAAGAGCCTCAAACCAAGTGTATCACCCTCGGCTCGACTTTCCAAATCAAATCGCTGCCATCATAGTGTCTTGGTGGCATATTCGCAAACCACACAAAGCCCACTCTGGAGAATTTTGCATGCTGGCCCGGCACACTCAGCAATGCCAAACCCAGTGGGCGTTCGTTGACCGATTTGTTGATCACCATACAAAACAGTTCCTCCGCCGGGGGGTTTTGATGATGCGATTTCTGGTCATATTCCAGCGTTCCGACCTCCTTGCCATTACGGTCTCGAAGACTTGCCATAGGCAACGACTCAAGCGATGCTCGCGTTATCTCCGTCGCTGTTACCCTCAGTAATCTTGCATTCAGCGTAATTCTCGCCTTGGGAACCTCGCCGTAAGCGCCTAGCAAGGTTTCTTCCCCGTCAGAATATGACATACCCAGAACCTCACAACAAGGATCTAGCAACACCAAATACCCTTGTTGCGAGCCGTTGAATGAGAGAGGCCCCATGAACCTTGCCCAGGACCATGACGGCAACACGTCCGACACGGGTTCTTCGGGCCATGTGGATAATAGTAGACCGTTTCTTTTCGACCTCCACCAAAGTAGTCCCATGAGGATGTCTTCCTCCCACAAGCCTGCCAGATACCTGTAACCTGTCAATCGAGCAAACGTCCGAGCAACCCCCGCCAACGCCGGCAGCTTGTCTGAGGCGTACGTTAAACTTCGCTCGCTATACTCTCCCAACAGACGGTACCACTGTGTCATCCTAACTGCCAGCTCTAACCTCCATTCGGACCAGTCTCGAGGGTATACGAGCTCTCTTTCTCCCTTTATGCAGCGGAATATCAGTTTGAAGGGTGTGTGGATGTCGATAGACTCTTTGAGACGGTTGGTCAGAGGCCCCACATACTTTGCGTCCTGACGGGCCGCTTTTTGTCGACATTCCCAGTAGATCTGCTGTGCGCCGTAGTGGACAATTCGTGGCGTCAAGATCTTCTCTTGTAGAACCCACCCACGGGTGTCTAGGGGGCTCTGTTTGGGGTTCTCAATCTCAAACGTCGGGTCAAGAATAGAGATAGCGCCTAGAGGTATCGACGGGTCATCTTTCGCAAGATAACGGAGGCGGCAGATTGGGGCCGTAGACACTGTTCGAGAGATGAAACAGCCGTCCTGGGCGTTGCGAGCCGCTCGAGCAGCAATGGTCAAAAAGCTCTGGCCATAAACTTCTCCCATTCTCATGGATTCCTTTCCCAGTCTTCTTTGGAGTCTTGAAGGATACAGAGGGAATCGATCCAAAGATATCGCATGCCGAGAAGTCGGGTAATCATAACAGCTTGCTGGAAGGTGGGAGGTAGTGACGACACCGGAATTGAATCTCTGTGGGCTGCGAGGTTATGTGTCGTTGTCACTATCGAGACCTTGCCTCCCCAGCAATGGCTCAGGGTAGTGTAAAGTCCATGCATCCCGTTTGATTCCATGAGACGTGGATCTTGTGTCTCACTGGGCGATCCAAGGTCCAAAACGCGGGTCGGGAGTGGAGGGATTGACCCTATATTGCATTGCTGATGATTTTCGACACAGTCCTTCAAACACTGGTTGACAAATATCATATCCCTAACGGTACTTCCATTAGTAGTGGGGAAAGGCCTTCCGGTTATGCCTCCATGCCAGGAAGCCGAGTCATCTGCTTTTCGGTCAGCATAAGATGGAATAATTGCTACACCAAGGTCAGTCTGGCCGGGACACTACTCACCTTCAGTAGTGAATATATGAAGTCGCCCGGAAAGAGCAAGTGTATAGTCGGGATGCATGGTTGGATCGTCCACTTCGTCTTCGCTTTCGCAGTCGGGGACTTCACCAGAGGTATAGACGTCCATGTAGTCGAGGTAGGAGGTGGCTCTGTCGGTTGACGCAAGTCCACAAGCTGAAAAAGATATCTCTCTGCCCGGATACTTCTCCGAAATATGTTCCAGCACCTGGGATCCCAAGACCAAGCCATCAGGTGACTTGCACTGGCTGAGAGCAGTCCATATGAAGCCACATAACCGGCATCCTCCCTTTACGGATTCCTTCAACGCGAAATAGCTGGGTTGGTGAGCTTGTGTGTTGTCATCTTGCATCTCTGCGAGCGAAAGACTCTTGCATAGATTACAGAGTGTTGACGTGCTGTCATCCATGGTGTAAGCTAATGTGCGCAGGAGCACTTGTAAATGATGTATTAGACTCAATGTACAGACCCGGTGGGGACCGTTGGGAAGAAAAGATAAACTTTTGGTTTGGGAATGTGGTATGATTGCAAGGGTGTTTACTTTAAGTAGTGAAATAAGAGAGCATTGGCGCTCAACAGAACCCGGGGGTGCAGCTAGTTCTTATCCTTGTTCACAAGCGCCTACCAAGGCGTCAGGTGTGCCTTCCTGGTTTCGCAGATGCCACTGCTGACACAGTCATGGAAACCATCGTCAGCAGAGGCAGCTAGCCGCTGTTGATGTTTCGTGAACCGACAAGTCAAGTGCACGAAAATATGATGCATGACTGCAAGATAGTAAGGCAACTGAAATGTAGAAAAAGAAAAGAAAGGAAAAGGGCAAAGTACATTAAACCGTGTTACTTATCGCTTATCAACTCCAAACTCCTAATCTGGGAACACTCCAGTATTGTTTTTCCCAAGACAGATGCGGGGGACCAAGGTAAATGGGGATGAAAAACAGGAAGAAAGGGATCTAGTAGACTGATATGTCCTTCTCGCACTCCGTGGTCTTCAGATATTGCATGTTGACTGGGGTAATGGCCTCCTGTCCTCCAAGCACCGCCATAATGTTCCTCATGCTTAGCTCCTCGAAGCCAACATGCGTCTCGACTGTTCCCCCAGCATTATGGCAGGTCAACATTACTCTTCCTGGGTGGTCGAAGTTTGGTCTTTCACTGGCTTGGGGGCTCCTTTCATAAAGATCGCGTTCCCCAAAAGCCATCTTGAGCAGCCTCGGGCTGACCCTGGGCTCCTCAGTATGCACATCCAATGCCGCAGCGCTGATCCTCCCGTCCTCTAGGGCGTCTGCCAGCGCTTCTTCGTCGACCAGATTTCCCCGTGCCACGTTCACAAATCTTGATCCTTTCTTGATGTGTCTTAGGACATCCGTGGTGATAAAGAGGCTTGCCATCGGTTAGAGAAGGGGTGCAAAGCACCACACAGTCGGACACAGCCAACAAGCTTCCTAGACTGGAGTGATACGTCACGCCGAGGGATGACTCCAGGGGAGCAGGTTTGCGCACGACGTCGTAATATGCAATCCGCATGCCAAACGCGGGGCCGAGTTTGGCAGCAATCTGTTGGCCAATGTTACCTAACCCTACGAGACCGAGAACATGGTTGCGCGGGTTGTGTGAGACAGCTGGTGCGAGCAAATGGCATGTCTGAAAGGTCTTGCCGGCTATTGAGGCCGCGGATTCGGTCGTGGCGTCTGGAGAAGAGGAAGCTGGGAGAAAGTATAGAAGGGTTGCGGCACCCATGCACCAGGGCAGGTGTCGAAAGGTTGAGATGACCATTGCGACAGCGAAGTCAGCCACAGCTTCGGCGGCGGCGAGGCCGGAGTTGCAGTAGATTATGCCTGGAACACAAACGTTAGCATATTGTACATTTCCCATCGCCGTGAGCCGGAAACCGTGTATGCGCGTACACACCTGTTTCTCCCAGAAGTTTTGTATCTGCCCAGTCGAAGCCTGCACCAGCACTGGCAAACACCTTGACCGAAGTCGGCAACAAGTCAATAAGTTCAGCGTCCCAACGGCCCATCTCGCCACCAGTACCCCAAAATGGTCTGAATATGGCACTGAAGTTACCCCATCGCCGTTCCTGCAGTGCCTTTTTGAACTCGCTGCGTTCCCTCTCTGTGGTACTAGGTCGGATAACCTCGAATGCTTGACTGAGTTCGGCATATGTCGTGGGGTTGTACCTGATGGGATCGCCGATATGGAGTACAATAGGCCGACGTCGGTTAGATGGGTCCTGTTGCGGTGGTCGTAGCTGGATTGTGGTCATAGAGGCATTGGGAGTAAGACTGGGGAGGGGCGGCGAGGGGGAGGATGATCGCGGAGTGGATGCCGGCACTGGTGTGCTTGCAGGCATGGGCGTGTTGTAGGGCTCTGCCATCGTTGAATCGAAGGCCAGACTGATGATTGTGTCCGTGGCTCGTGGACTTGAGAGTTGGTGTCTCGCGACTCTTGTCTACCAGGTGCGTTGGAGAGAACGAGAAGGAAGGCGAGGTGTTCCTTTGCGTTTGTCTGGTCTGGTTCAGTTTAACCACCTGTGTAGAGGTAACAAGACTGGTTTTTCCTGGAAGACAAGTGAGCACTCGAGCGCATTCGAAGACAGTTGATCAGGGAAGGAGTGAAAGCCATTGTATATGTTGTTTCTTCCGAGTTGGACGATGTTCTGGAGTTGGGAAGCAACGAACATGCCCAGCCGTAGAGGTACCCAATCCCGCCTGTCCACTCATGCATGGCAGGTGCCCCTGGGACGGAGCGAGATCGGCGACGTTACATACAGCGCTGAGGGCCCTGGCAGCCCACCTATGCATGACCCCTGAGAAAAACCTCATAACGCCTTCCTCCGCGATAAGACCCTCGGAAGGTTCCTGCCCCAACATCCATTCCCAAGGGCAAAACAATCAGCCAAATCGTCCCCAACCATGGAACAACTTGAAGTGATGAAACACCATTTTTACAAGGCAAGAACCGTTCATGTTCCCATGCCAGCCAGAGGGCCGCTTTGACAGTCATCTAACAAAATGTCCAGGTGCATAAACACCACGGTGGTGTCGGATGTGGGACTTGAACCAATACCAAGCGCTGTCAATGTAACGAGGTCCCCTTTCGATGATACACTCTCAGGCATATCATGACACCTATCTCCATTGTCCTCAACATCAACTTCAGGGCTCGGCCCGAGACCCATTAAACAGTGATGATATAGGCACGGGAGCGAGCACATCACCGTTATACAACAGTGTTATCTTGCAACGCTCGAACCGTTGTCTTGGAAGCTGGAATACATTGGGTTTTTCCTGAGGTATCATTGATCGAACATCCCAGGCTTTCCTTCTTGTCATCATCGAAAGGATTTATTCCAGCCACGGACACTTTAGTTCCACCAAGCAAACACCTATTCGAACCCCAAGTACGCATCTGATCACTCACCTCCACCTCTGTGGCCACCACCACCACCCATAAGCAACTCATCCACCCAAGCCGACACCCAACTCATCCACCACCAAGCCCTGAACCACCACCCCTCAAGAACCTCTACATCTCTCTTCACCGCCGCATTCAACGCTACCCTCTTCCGAATGCTCTTCACCTCGTACTTACACTTCTGCAAAGTAACAACACAGGCAGTGCTCAACACTGCGGACCAACACGCCATGCCGAGGACCGCCATCATTGCTGCCCAGGCCATCATATGGGAAATTGCGTCTCCTGTTGACGGCTCGAAAGTTGTGACAATGATGGTTCTGAAGGCTGTTATTAGTTGACGAACTTTGATCACTTCGTTGGGGAAGGGTTGGATAGGATTTGGAGAAAGTTGATGGCAGCGGGCTGGAATGAAGTTCAACAAGAGAAGAGGAGGACAAACAAAAGACCAACAACCACCCACTCTACCACTACCCTCGCCACTCTCGACCCAGGAGACATCAAGTGCAGCATCGTCTCTGCCAGAGAGAGATGCAAGAGGCAGTAACTGCGGTAAGTCCTGGCCGTCCAGAAAGTAGAGGGGACGGACTGTTGTCTATCTGGCGGGATATCTTGTTCGGCTGTTACGATATCATCAGCAACAACGCTAATCGTTAGTATCTTCAACAAACCATCTATTGGTTTGTCAACGATCAATGGGAATGGGGTAAGAAAGAAGGTGAAATACGCACGCATATCCATCATCTCCAAAACCTCCCTATACGCGTCCAACCCATCAAACCCACCTACTCTCTCGCTTTCGGCTTCTCCCTCGGTATCCGAATCGCCCAAAACCTCCTTGAGCAAACCTTCCCACACCGGAAGATACAGTCTCAAACTCAAGACCGCCATCTTGATATACGTATGGCAGCAACAGGCCAGATCATAATCGCCTTTTAGTGCCCGGATCTCCCGGTTAAGTGTGCGGAGGTAGTACGTAGCTATGGGATCTTCTTCGTCCCAGCCATGTCGAGGAAAGGGGAATGGAAGGGGGTTGGTTTCGTCGTTGTCGCTGTCGCTTTGGAATGGGTCGGTCATTTTGGCTGTCTTAATACGGCAATGAGAAGTACAGAATTGTTAGCGTTGAGAGTCGCGGGGGAAATAGTTGCTTATGAACAAGTCTTTGGGCCTATTTTCGCTCTGGCGACATCAAGAGGAAGTTGAGAAAGTTAAAAGCAATGAATCAAGCGGCATTTGTGACAATGATTCATGGAGTCTTTACGCGATGATAACGGTTCGTAAGTAATGATGCATACATCTACCTATTGATTGTTCAATGTCTGTCTGTCTATCTCTGCATCCTTCGGGCCTGTTGAAGTTTGTCTCTTACACTTGGTATTCAAACACATCGCGCGCTTCATCATCGTGACACTCCTTCGCCTCAATTTCTTCCCATCAGTTCAGCTCACCAGAAACTCGAATGCTTCATCTGAGTCCCAGAATCCCAAATTATCAACAGTGAACCCTCAACCCTTAGTGAACCATTTTGTGTCCACATCGTCTCTTGTCCAGGGTGTGCACGATACCTGGGTTGGCGTAGTGCCGATAGTGGCTCCGCACCTAGCCCGGTGGAGAATGAGGCATAAAGCGCTATGTTCAAACCAGGGTAACCATCAAAAGCCCGCATGGCTCAGTGGTAGAGCGCATCACTAAGTAATGATGAGGTCGTCAGTTTCGATTCTGGCTGTGGGCATCAAATAAGCTTGGTGAAGTTGATGATGTTTCTTTTTTTGCTATGTTTTCGTTGACACCATGGAGTTGAGACTTTTTTTTTTGGGTGTTTTGGGAAATGGGAAGGTCCTTCCCTTTTGCGGCTGGACGGACCGATAGCAGGTGAAATTTATGGCGCATCATTGACCCTAACCCGACCTTCCCCTTCCTCCTGTAACTTTCCTGTTCCCACTATACACCAACGGTCAAGTCCCAAAGTGTGTTTCATCTTGTCAATTCCTCGATTTCCTCCTTCTTCCGTTCATCATAGCCCAAGCCTCACATCGCCACGCTCCCCCTATCCATCACCCATTACCCAACCCAAATATTCCCCCCTCCCACCTCCACAACCCAAACCTCCACCTCCCCTCCCTCCACCTTCCCACTCTGATCCCTCCCCCCATCCCTCTGCACATCATCATAAGCAAAAGCATACCCCTTCCCATCCGCGTTCCACTCATGCACAACCCTAGCGTAATGATTTGTCGGGCGCCCATCCACATGCCACCTATAAAAGGTATCCACATCCGACGGCTGGTCTTCGCAGTCGATGATGCTGGATCGCTGGAAAGCGGCGGCAAGACGGGGGATGATGGCGTTGCGCACAGCGTTGGGGCCCGTGGTGAAGGGGCCCGAGTTGCACCCGAAGATGTCGGCTGTTGTGGGACGGTTGAAAGGTTCGGAGCCGATGAGGAGGGGGTCGGAGGGTTTGTGGGGGATGTGGCCTGTTAGAATGCCCGGGCCAGCTTGAGTGTTTATGCGGAGGTGGTGGGTTTGGGTTTCGGGTTGTGGTTGTTGTTGTTGAGGACGGGGAGGAGGTGGCGGTGGTTGTTGCCCGGGATAGTAATACTGTTGTTGCTGTTGCTGGCCGGGGTAATAGTTCTGTTGCTGAGGTGCCGTAGCGTGGCCGTTGTGGCTGTGATGACTGTAGTGGTCGTGGAACTTCTGCAAAACATGTCGTAGCCCGAACCTAGGCGGAGCGCCGTTCGGACCATCTCCGGGACGGGGTCCAGGTGGGGGGCCGGGTGGTCGATCTCCCGGTCTTGGTCCCGGCGGTGGCCCCGGGGGCTTATCGGGACCGACTACACTGCCGTTCCCATGCCCATGGCAAGGCCTCCCAAAATGACAGTATTTCTCCCAGACCCTGGCGACCAATGGCTCAAAATATCCTTCGAACTTGGCCCCGACCGCATCACCATGTGTAGGAGCTAGCACTCGCAACGGCCTATCCATCCCCGGCTTCTGCACTATCAACTTATCCCACGGCCACCCGTCCCTCGCCGCCTGCTCCCTTAACCCCTGCGCAATCCTCTCCAACCCATCTGGTCGCATGCCCGACACATGCTGCAGCCTCCTCGTCCGCGCCTCCACCAGCGTCAAAGCAATCGGCAACCTCGGCACAAAGTCCACATACGAGATGTTGGCGAAAAGCTGGTGGTCGTTGAGCGTAAACTCGCAAAAGGCAAAGTCCACATCTCGGTTGGGATCGCTCGGGTTTAGGACCGATGGCTCAACCAGCGCCGCGCCACCTCCGGGCCCGCCGGGGTTGAGCATGAACTTGAGTTTTTGGTCTCCTTGGCAGAACCAGATACGCCCGCCGGCTATGCGTGGGATGGTGACGACGGTTGGGTAAGGGCCTGGAGGGACGCGGATGGCGCAATCGACGGGGAAGGGCTGGAGGATTTTTTCCCGGAGGAGGCGAGGGAGGGAAGAAGCAAGTTCGACCGTCGGATTGAATGAATACGCGGGCCATCGAGGGGATGGCCAGGCCGGTGATGTAGGCATGGATGGGGATGTGCGGGGTTGGCGAGGTGTTGACCAGGTGTATTGTTAGTGAGGTGGGCATGGTTGGTGGGTGGTTGGTGGGTGGTTGGTGTTAGTGCAGATTATGTTGTGTTGTTGTATCATGTAGATTCGAGACCACAAGACATAAAACAATCGTCGTCGACCTGTTGATAAAGAGCGGATAATGGATCGGGAGGACTCCAAGGCGATTTCTTTTTGTGGCTATGTCAATGGAGTCACTGGTGAAGCCGGAGCTGAAAGTGGGCAACTGTGGGTTTCTGTGGTCGAATTAAGGTTGTGGAGATGATGATCACATCATGGAACTTCCAGGGACAGGGACAGTCACAGGGGGGAGTGACGTTGTTAACATCAGTTAGTGGCGACGCACCGCGGCCTTGGGCCCTGATTGTTAGTGGCTGAACCAGAAAACCGGGAACGAACAAAGAGATTGATAATCTAGACAATTCGAACTGAACTAACTGGTAGCAATTATGCGCCTGCATAATCTACTTGACCAAACCGATCCATAGGAAGAAGTAAAGAACAAGGAAACATTTTCTTGAAATTACCCAGCAACGAAAGGTAGATTGGTTTGTGTGAGCGCTTGCCAGTGCCTAACCAGTTCCTGCATCTTATGTGCGACCTACACAGTTTCTTGGCAGATGTTGGGCATCTGCGATCCTTCAAGCAATCAACGCAATATTGTCTTTTCCCTCGATAACTACTCCTTCGCTGTCTATACTGTCTTCGTCGGTCGCTATTAGTGGAGCGGTGATGCACTGCCATCATCATCACTCAATTCCTCGTCATCATCGTCCTCTGAATCGAAGTCCGATTCGTTGTCCGAGGAATGTCCACGCGCTGAAAAGTGTCGTTAGCAGGGGCAACAGAGTGGTGTGTGACTGGCTTCCGCTTGGAAGGACTGTTGAGGCCGATGTGACTGGTCTAGTAGTAGACGTAGTGGTGAGGGTGCTGAGGGTTGTGAAGGTGGTAAATATGGTAAGTGTAATAAGGGTGGTGTGGGTAGTAAATCTGGTAAAGGTGATGAGGGTGGTAAGCTTGGTAGAGGTGATGAAGGTGATAAGGGTGGTGGAGGTAATATAGGTGATGTAGGTGATGAATGTAATGAGGTTGGTAGAAAGGAAAGTGGTGCATACTCGGAACGCCTGTGATGTGCTTGCTAGGCGTAGCTATGTCCGCGGCAGGGTTGCTGAGAAAGGTCTCCAGTTTCAGGCCAGTGTAGGTCCTATCCCTCTTGGCATTAACCATCCCCTTCAGGTTTTGATACCCTGTTGCTGGAGTGCCGTTCTTCTTCTCGGCCTCGTTTGGATTGACAAACTCTACCACCGGGTAGTGGAGTACAGCCCTGGAAGCATTAGATCTTACCACAGCTTCCAAGTGACCCAGGCTCAGTTCTCGAAGATGTGGAAATGACTCCTTCTTAAGGCTACGCAAGAATTTGATCCATGGGTTTTGCTCATCATCATCCATGTCGAATGAGTGTTGGTCGGAGTTTTGCTGGAGTTTGACCCTGCGTAGGCTAATCGCTTTCAAGGTGGGCGAGAACTTGCGAAATAGGCGAGCAAGCGTGTTTGTCGAAACACTGCATTGTCCGATGTCCAGCTGTTCCAGGTGGTCGAGCTCGACCGGTGGTGGGAAGCGGGATGGATCAGCGTTGGTTAGGCCAGGGGAAGACCATGCGCCAGGGCGGAGGGAACTGGCGAGCCACTTAAGCAAAGCCTCTTCCTCTCCATGGTTCGAAAAGCATCTCCTGAAGTTGATTCTCAGCCACGTAAGGTTTGGAGTGAGTGCCAGGAACTTCTTGAACAGGAGGTACTGAATCCCGACATTTACATATGTGACCGTGTTGATATCTAGCACGAGGTGCAGCTTTTTGAGACCCGCAAGTATCGGCAGAAGATCAGGCTCTAGATAAGTGGGAACCAGAAAGCCGTGCTCGCGGACTGCCCAGTTCTCCCTAATCACCACTTCGATGCCTTCTGGGCGGGCTTTGGCAGCAGCCAAGGCGTGGATGATGAGCGAAAACAAGCGGGTTGGATAGTCTTCCTCTCCAGCCCGTGGCTGTCCCGTGAACGGTTTTACTCCGGTGGTTTCAAGGAGGGTGTTATGGCCATAACTGCTCCAAGTCGCGTCGCCGTCGCGGGTCCGAGAGGAGGAATGGAAATCTCGAAGATCGATGATCTCAAGGTGGCGCAAGTTCCTGAACGCCTCAACGAGCATGTCGCGTGCCCGGCCGGATACCAACAGTGTTTGCTGGTCAGCGTATGCTAGGTGCCAGTTCAGGGATTTTTGATCGTCGGTTGCCGCGCTGATTCTGTTAGGTGGGAGAATTTGGTCGGTCCCGATGATGACATGCTTAAGATGGTGAGAAAGGCTCGGGTGTTTTGATATGTCAACGAGAACCTGGAGACTAGGGCCGTAGATCATGAACTGCTTCTTGCGGAAGAACTCGTACGCAAACGAGTAGTAGAGGGCATTTTCCAACGACTTGCACGTCAAGCGCGCGTTGCAAAGGTCGGGTGTTCTGACGAAGTAGGTGATCCTTGTCAGAACTTCTTGGGGCATGCGCGTCAGATATGGCTGTGGTGATGGAGCCTGAGTATCCATGATTGGTGTTGTTGTTGCCATTTGTGCGGTTGCTGTGTTGAGGCTGCAGTGAGGTGTAAAGTGAGTAACGCTTGCGAGCGTTTGAGAGTCGTGATGTTCCAAGAGAGAGAAGGAGGGGTATGCTTGTCGAGTAAGATGGGTTCCGTTAAGACAACAGCGACCCGGTCGAGTTTGCAGCGAGGCGCAGCGAGTGGTGTTTGAGATGAGAGAAGGTGTGATTGATGAGCAGAAGGGTCTGCTTGTGGCTGCAGTGGTTGCGACCCGGACTCGGTTCGGGGTGGGGCGGGGCCGCAAAGTGAGTGGTGTTTGAGAGAGAGTAGAAGGCGTGAGGGATATGGAGGAAGAAGGAGTGACCTGTTGGGACGGTTATCGAAGTAAATACGACTGGGTTGAGGTTGTAGAATGTGGCGATGTGAAAAGTTAGTGGCGCTTGCGAAAGCTTGGGACAGATGAGAAATCGCGATGTTTGGAGAAAAGAAAGAAGGCGGGGGGAGGCCTGCGTGGAGGGAACGAAGAAGTAGACAGGATATAAAGAAGCGAACGGATCCCCAGAGCAACCGCGTCGATTTTTACACTTCCAAACAATAAGATGGCAGGTACGCCGTGTGCCTGTTGTCAATTGGAAGCGAGTCCCACAATCGCGACTGCTGCCTGGCGGTTGCCTGTCAATGGACGTCGTTACATCAGGTTGGGACACGCTGTCACGTGTAATGGAAGGTGCAAGGTACTTACTCTTGTCGCTCACATTGCAAGCAAACGGTTCGAAGGGGAGCAAATGCGAGTACTTATTCCACTGATAGCTACTGGTTAAGAGTGTAGCGCAACATCGCGCCCCGTCAGCGAGAGATGGGATGAACGGTGACTTCATGTCTTCCGCGCCGATCTCGATGCACTAACAGCTTGACTAACAAACCCATGGCATATGTGTTAGCAGGGGCATTTGGCCAACACTATTACACACCTCAACCTTAACCCGTGGTAAGAACAACTCGCAAGGTGATACGCACCTGATTGTGTACTGATTGTATTCTTATTCTTATCAATGCTATGTAACCCAAGTACTATTAATCCAGCTTCGATTATATTCCTTCTTATTTTCTCCCATTCCCATATTGGCTCAAGTGATGCGACGCGCAAAGGCAGTGTCCTGTTTGCAACACCCAAACTCCACGCTTTCCAAGTCCCTTATTCCAACCATGGGTCCGACAGGCACCGGTCGCGCCGAGTCATCCTTGCTAACTTGTTCCCATCTTCCTCGCTCGCATTAACCCCCATCCCGGAATGTTCCTGGCATGCTCCTCACTTGCGCGCTCATCCCACTATTCTGCCGGGTTATCGGTGACACCGGTTCGCTATTCGCATCCCGATAGTCTGTTATCGTCGACATAGGCGAGATATTTCCTGGTCCTGCCGTTCCATAGACGGCGGCTGGTTGCTGAGGATACGCCCATTGGGTCGGCGATTGACTCGGAGGATACTGGTATTGATGTTGGTAAAGAGACGGCTGTTGGGTCGGCGCGTGCTGAACTTGTGGATGTGGGCCGTATTGATACTGCTGCGGGCTATAGGGCTGGTAGGGTTGGTGATGCTGCGGGTGTTGTTGGTAATAATGCCCTGGTTGTTGCTTCTGTTGCTGCTGCTGCTGCTGCTGCTGCTGTAGCGCTTCCGCATAGGTCATGTTAGGAACCGGTGGAGGAGGAGGGTGCGGTGCTTGCAGGCTGGTCATTGTGGGTGATGTCTGCGTTACAACCGACTGCGGATTCCAAGGCTGTGAATTCTGAGTGAGATAAGGAGTGGGAGATAATGGAACATTGGTGAAAATCTCAGCAGAATTGGAGTAGTTGTGACCAGGGGTCTGAAGCACAGGAGCCTCTGGCCCTATACGTTGTGGTTCAGTGTTCTGATAAGTCGCCGGTGGCGGCTTTGGAAGAGTATAGCCTGGTCCAGATACGCCATGAACACTCTGACCGTCATGAAGAGTTGAGCCGCTCAGGATACTATCCGATTTTGCTGGCATCATGGGTCGTGGACCCCCGGGTCTCGAAGGCGTTGGGCTGGGTGGTAGAGATACGTGAGTGGGGTTCTTAGGCGTGGCACTTCTGGCAGGCGAGGACCCGCGCTCGAGGATTGAAGGGTCGAACCCCCTAGCAAATCCGTCCATCGGTACTATCTGCATGGGATCGGATTCCCTTCGGAGTCAAACCTGCGCGGCCTGGTCCTTGCATCCCATGGTGATAACCATGGGAGCAGAAAGGGACGATCTACCCTGAAGACGACGTAGCATTCGATGCTGAGGGAAAGACTGGCCATGACAGAAGCAAAGAGGTCCATGTTGAGGAGGACCGCCTTGCTGCCACCTCCGCCAAAGTATATGCCAACGGCGAGGAGTATGATTGTAAGCACCCAGACGGAGGTGGCAGATATTATCAGCATCCTTGTACGGGCATGAACGGGATGTAGGGTCTTGCGACCCTGTGAATCCAGGATTCCGTAGAGGGTGTTGCCAGCTCTGGTGGCTCGAATATGGTAACCGATGTAAGCCATAGAAAGGATAGACTACGAGAGGGTTAGCATCAAAATGGGGCTATATCAGAGTGGGGAAAGGAGAATGAAGGGTAACTTACAGCAAAAAGCATGAAACTCTGCGCAATGCTCAGCATCGGGTTGTCATTTGCTGCAATCTTCTTCGCCAAATAAAGGATTGACACGATGATTCCAGATGTTGATGCAAGAAACGTGATACACAGTCCCGTAAGAGTAACTGTCGGCATCCATCCTCCAAATCGCGGCTCTGGCGGTGGTGGTGTTGAGAGTTCCTGCTTTTCGACGCTGCTCACAGCGTCAGAAGCAGTAGGTTGTTGATCCATGTCGTACGCGTTGTTCCACGATGCAGAGGTGCAGTAGCTCAAGATCTCGTTGATATCGCCAGCGATACCTGTTGTCGTGGTCGTCCGCAACTTCTCGAAGTGGCCGTTCTACCGTTGTCCAGTTGAAGATAGAGGTACGAAGGTCAAGAGGGACTCGACTTGATAAGGGAGAATACGTTATTTGCTGAGGTCGCGGCCTCAACGCAGAGGTTGGCGTCGCGTGGGCGGGGACTCACATAGAATTGTGGCAGGAAGACCACCACGCCGCTACGTGACAGCGTGTTCGGTGATTCCCATACTGCTGGACAGTAGCTGATGAATGTTGCGGCGCCCGTTCCGGATTGGAGAAAAGACATTCTTTGATGGGGCGTGGGTCAGGAACTGGAATGTGAAGTTCGGGGTAGGTCTCAGCCAAGGTGATCATGGCAATGACGCAGCAGGTAGTCATCTATGTCCATGGTACCATTGGCAAGAACAAGACAAGCCATGGATGACAATAGGTAATGAAGGTGAATTGCAGTGATGAGAGGAACAATGGATGAATTGGACATGACCAATCCGATGAAGTGGAAGCAACATCTTTACAGGCACCAGAACTTTTCGCCGCAGCAAATACGAAGCAACAGGCAGAACGTAGGGATGGACATCGCTAATAATTGTGAATGGAATGTATGCAGAAATGACGAGAAATGGAAAAGGTCGTGATGATATTCAGTTCATCCAGTCGCTTGGAACCACTCTAGAACTCCTCGCCCATCCTGGCTCCTCCACCTCCAACCCAGTCTTCGCGCTCATAGTAGCGGAACACGAGGTCATAATCCTCGAAATCGTGAACAATGCGGTCAACACGACGGTATCCGTTGATGCGCTCCATACGCTGCTTGGCAGCGGCGCCCCAGTTGCGACGAGTATCATCAGCATCCTCGCCGGGTGTGGTAGCCAATGCGCCCTTAGCCTCGAACAAAGTCACGCTAAAACGTCCAGGGCGGAAGATGTTAACAACCTGCTCAATGACTTCAGCTGTCTGCCGTCCATTCTGGCGTGCGGGAACGTTGGTTTCAAAGGAGGCAAAAGAGCACTGAGGCTCAGGGGTAACGTGGACGGTGAAGTAGTGACCGGCCTTGGAAACAGCTCCGTCGGCGCCGGCAACAGCGGGCACAACGCCGTTGGCAGAAAAGCCGCAAGGCGAGAACTGGTAGGCATCGACACGAGCATCGGGATAGGTGGACGTGGGGTACACGGCGGAAAGACCGCATGCCTCCGACACGACAGTGCCCAAGGCGTGGCCCTCAGTGGTAAGGGCCTCGGGAAGAACAGCCTGGCCATCGGCATCGCAGTCTCCGGAGCTGCTGAAGACGTCAAAAGAGGCATCTCCGTTCGCCTCAGACTTGGCAAAGAGCTTCTCCTTGGCGATCGCGGCCGCTTCATCAAGGTAAAACTTCTTGGCGTTCTCGGGATCCAAGTCGGTCATCAGGATCTCCAAAGTCTCATCCTCGTTGTTCTCGATAACACCTCCAAAGGGGGCCACGATACCAGTAGGGATCTTGGACCTACGGCTAGGGCTGACACCACGGCTCGAAGTAGGCGTGCGTGGAGGCGTGAGGGAGCTGGTGGGGGATGTAATGTAGAGGTACCAGTGGTCACCGTTCATCTTTCCAACCATGTAGGCACTGCCGTTCTCGAACATGCTATCCAAGAAGGTAACCTCGTCCCTCCAGCTCTTGTGGGGGCCACGCTGCCTCTGGGGGAACAAGAAGTTCTTGCGGCTGTAGAAGACGCGTAGAGGAGTAGCGGCAACCTTGGGGTCGTCCAAAGAAGCCACATTGTGGTAGGGAAATCCAGCCTCAGCGGCGGCGATGCGCAGCATCAAGTCCAGACCGAGCAGCAGAGTAGTGGTACCACATGTCTTGAGAATGATCTTGTGGGGGAACACAAACATGCTGGACTCGGAGAGGAGGTAGGCGTCCACATTCTCGGAGTTGATGATGGACAGGACCTTACAGTGGACCAAATCAAGCATGGGAGTCCAGGAGTCAGGGTTGACGGCCTTCAGGCCACCCTCCTTAACGCCAGCAGGGAGGGCCTTGGCGCTGGGCGCAAACCAGACCTCAAGGAGCTTCTCGGGGCCTTCAAAGGCATTGGTGGAGTCGAGGTCGGCAGCGACATCGTGGTTGATGGTAAGGTAAGGGGTGCCCTCGGAAGGGGAGAAGGTGTAGTTGGTGGGAATGGCGGGAACTCCGAGGCCAGACATTTTGAATCGATTTTAGGGTTGTTGACAGTGTGTCTTCTAAAACGAAGCGTCCGCGGGACACTAGCTGCCGCTCAGATGAACTTTGATGGCGTTCGTCTGAGAGAGTAGGCCCACAGGATTGTGGTGTCCTTTAAGAGGCTGGCTTCGCCAGCAGCAGGTGGATGAAGGTAGCTGAACGTCTCACGAAGTAGACGTTAGGGAGGTCGAGTACGAAGCGGGAGGAGATAGAACTTTGAGAGCAGAATGGTGGGCTTTGTCGTCGAGTTCGCCGTGGTCACAACACAACCGATACCTATGGGCGATATCGGGCAGTGAGGGAAGGTCGAGAGAACCGGGTCGAGGGACGCGGGCAGGCTCCGAGATGTTGGTTATGAGGATGATTGGAAAGTATGCTATTTAGGCCTAGCAAAGAGATGGTTAGTCAAGGGGAAGTGGTTTGGGAGAACAAGAACCGCACTTTGCAGGCTTGGACAGGAAGGGAAGGAGGTCGATCGAGCTCATGGAGCGGCGGCAGAGAGGGGAGCGAGAAGCGACGAGGAGCCCGGGACAGTATTGGGAGACTGTACGGGCGAGGAGAAGCGGAATTCGGGTAGCCATTTGGGCATGTGAATCTTGGATGGATGTGAAGCCGTCTGGCAAGAGTCGTCCTCCCGCCGAGGCCGGTGGTAGAGAGTATTGGCCGTCGGCGCAAAGCAGAGGAGGGGGGTATTTGCGATGAATCGAGATGGGACGAAAGGCCGTGTCGGGATGGAATTGATCGGTAAAAGACTCACAATGTAGCGGTGGTGCGTAATCCGATAAAACTGGCAAGAAAATACAGGTCTTGAGAGAAGGGAGATTTCGTCGTCAAAGGGGTAATTTGAGAATGGATCAAAACAGTTGAAAAGGTCAGAAGGAGGGGTTGCAATGCGCCTGATGAGAGATTTTGAAATTTTATGGACGGGAGGCCGAAAAAAAAGTGGGATTTGGGTTTTGCTGGAGGTTTGGCCCCGGCCGGCCCTGTTTGGCGGGGGACAAGTGGGAATTCCAGAAGGAGCAGCCCACTGCGCCCCCAAGATCGACCTCGTCCCCGGCGCTGCAAGGTCCAGCGTTGCGAAAGCCGGCCGACAGCTTCTGTTAGGCTACGGTATGTAGCATAGGAGTAAAGTGCTAACATGCGAACTGCATGTGGGTTTCACTGTGTTCTAGGCGCCCCGGCCGTGGAGGCAACATCGAGAACACTTGATTCCGAGGCCTGTGACTGGTCTCATCAATTACAACTCAACTCGGAACACAACTTTCAGAAATCTCAATGTTTACTAATTGCAAGATCGCAAAACGTGAGATGATACATGCAGGACATGTGGCAATGAAGTCTTGTCAAGAGACTTGACCGTGTTCCATCATTCTGCATGCAATTCTTCGGTTCTTTGAGTTCCATGTCGGTCTTCCAAGATTCCTGTCCTACGAGCAAAGGAACAAAGTGGAAATAAAGTTTCCGGTATGGGGGCATCCAGGGGCACGGCACGCGGGAAAGGCCATAGGTAGGTAGTTGCGGGATCATCCGCTGGGAATCCGCCACATTTACACTATAGCCGCCATCCTGCTCAATTCAGTTCACATAGCTTACTGCTTCCTCTCACTCAACTGGGTTTTATCTACCCGCAAAAACTAAACCTTCTCTAGTTTAGGTCGATGGCACGGTTGGATCATCCGCTCGAACCGCTGCAGGTCACTTGAATGCCAGCTGTCAAGTCAAGCGCTGGGTGGTTCGCTAAGTCCGCCGGCCACGATGGCACTCCAGTTCTGAAGTGCCTCCCAGATACGCTAGACTGTAAGAGAGTTAAATAAAACCCAGTTGAATGAGAGGATGCGGTAGTAGAGTTCACAGGCTCCGTTCAAGCACGATGGTATAGTGCATTATTTTCGGCTTTGAGGTCATCATTTGCTCGCCATGTAGAAGGTCTTATAAGGGCTTTGAAATGACATGTTTATCGGAGCAAGCTATTCATGATCGCCATCGATGTGTTAGGCTCAAACTCAACCTGCGTGAAGTCATAATCCCCTATCCTAATCCATACTCTCAAAGCGCCGCAGAAGGTCCGGTAAGCGGAAAAGCGGGAAGATAAGGCTGTGGATGAGGGACCCCGACCTTCTACGAGGACACAAGGCCTTGTCCGCATCCCGGAGAAGGACGGCAAGGATGTCGCATAGTTTTTGATGAAGGAGGTCTCAGTTGCTCACGACAAGTATCAACGACCCCTCATGGCTGTCTCGCTTCTGCATGATTGTCTGATTAGGTGCCAACTCAGTCAACTTGAGTTGTTTTCCGGTCCTCCTTCCAACAACACCAGCAATTGGTCCATCGGGTCGCGGCAGTGACTTGTACTGCCCATATGGACGACGGGCATATGTTTGTGCTGCATACATTAGTTTGGATCCGCGTGCATGCGTCAAACGGTGAAGCTCCGGCTGGAGCCAAGCCGTTCGTCCGGTGAGCTGGTACCGGGAGAGGATCCAGCATGGAAAGCCGGGCGTTGGAGGAAGCTCTCGGAAGAGAGTCGAGCGTTTGGTTCAATTCCCAGTCTGGAATAGGTTTCCTTTCATTGCTGTACAGCGGATATCACATCGGCGGTAATTTTGCTGAAAATCTGTGCAAGGGAGCAGTCCTTGTACTTGTGCACCAGAAGCGAGCCATCCTTAACTCCCACCTCTTCAGCCGCGCTGGCCCCAGCAGGAGTCGATACATCTTTCCCATCGACCGTGGTGCCTGCTGGGTATGTTGGTCGCTTGCCTGTCTCGATAAGAACGAGAAACTGAGGGTCGATCGGAATACGGCCAAGGAACCGAACGCCAAAGTCGTTGGCCATGACCTCTCCTCCACCACTCATGAAAATGTTTGTGCACTCGCTGCAGTTGGGGCAAACAAAACCGCACATATTCTCCACAACACCGAGAACTCGAATGCTGGTTTTTTGGCAGAAGTTGAGCTCCTTCCTAACATCGGCAGTTGCCACAGCTTGAGGGGTGGTGACCACGACGGCACCAGCAAGCTGACCAGGTCGTGCCTTTTGCAGCAGGTTCTCCGCCAAAGAAATATGTTCGTCGCTGGTGCCAGGAGGCGTGTCGATAAGGAGATAGTCGGTCTCGTCCCAGAACACGTCGGTCAAAAAACTGGCGAACCATGGCGGTCTTCTTTGGTCCACGCCAGACGACGGCATCACCCCGCTTGGGAAGGAGGAAGCCGAGACTCATGACGCGAAGGGATCCAATGCCGGCTGATGGGTCAGCTTCGTGGACGGTAATAGGCAACCAACCGCCAGGAGCTTGTGTCACTTTGGCATCTTCGATACCGAACATTCGCGGAATCGAGGGGCCTGTAAGGTCAACATCCAGGACTCCGACGGAATGGCCCGCAAGCGAAAGAGAAAGGGCAAGCTGGGTAGTGACAGATGATTTTCCAACACCTCCCTTGCCCGAGAGGACCTGCGTGTTCTGGTCAGCAATGACATCTTTTTGGGCGATGGTGGGGTCCAGCCTATGGAAGAACCCATGGATGACCGGGGATGCATACCAGGACAATATGCTTGACTTTTGTGAGAGACATTTTGGCTGTTCAGTATTTCAATGTCGCGATACGATGTGTGTGATTGACAGCAGGTTCCTCTCAGCCGTTTTGAAAGTTTCTGGTGTTTTGGAGTTTGTGGAATTTGTAAATTGGGTCGGACGATGTCATTGTCAAAAGTCAAAGTCGCTGATGAATCTTTGCCGTTGAAAATGGGAAAGCGATGAAATGCGCCTGGATCGGCCTCGAATCGGCCTGTGCTTTATCAGCAAGTGGGGCCCCCAAACCGTCTTCCCGTCTGCCAAGCCCAAGCCAAGTTTCTTCAACAGGGGCCTGGGCAAGCGTTTTGCGGAGATGTATAAACTGTAGCAAGGGCACCGGATCATCCGGGGCATGGGCCATTCGCAGCTGCTACTACAAGATAAACGTCTTTGCAGAACAGACCGATGCTGGCCCCCTGACATGTGCATTTGGCATCCAGGCATTGAAACCATGGAAGCTTCAACATCCATTTCGGTGTCTGTTCGCCAGTCCACAAACACTCCCGCCTTTTGAGTTCTCGATCACGGCCAGGCTCAATTGGAGCACAGGAACACGCCAGACGACGCCTAGATCGAATTATACAACGGAAACATCGGATACACGACATGCTTAGCTGCACATAGTCGACGCCAGGTGCGCGCAACATGACCGTTGGCGCCATAGCAGAAGAGGTCCCTATAGTTACAACAGAATGGACGATCCATGGGGCTCACCATGGGCTACAGCAGATGCACCAGCAGACCACGGACACAGCTTGACGAGAAAGAAATCCGACCTCGAGCCTCCCAAGCGAGCCCTGCTCTCCGCCAGCAACTCGCCCCGATTACCAGCTATCACGGCTCCTTCGCCATGGGCAGACGATAATGGAGATGGGTTCGGAGACTGGGCTGCCCCAGATGGGTTGGGAACACACACAACAACAACAACCGCGCAGTCGGGGTGGACAGGTGGATGGCGGTCTCGGAGTCCAAGTCTTGCGGCCCCGTCCCGAGACAATGGCTTCAGGTCTCGCAGTCCTAGTCTAGTCGCACCGTCGAGAGAGAACAGCTGGAGGTCTCGGAGTCCGAGTTTGATCGCGCCGTCACGGGATAACGGCTTCAGGTCGCGCAGCCCTAGTATTGCTGCCTCCATCAGGGACGAAGAATTCGCCAAATCCAATCCCATCGCCTTGCCAGACAATATCGCATCTTCAAATTCACCCATCGCGCCCGTACTTCGACAACCGTCCCCTGATCCGTGGGCCGCCGAATACTCACATACACACCACAACGATGGCGGCATCACTCCCCGCCTGGTGCTCAACCTACCTCAGTCTATCACCGAAGAAGAAGACGGCGTCGGCACAGGGAAACTGCCTGAGCTGAACCCCGATTGGGCAGAAGAGGAGGATGCGCCCAAGGATCAGGCAAACGAGGAAGAAAAGAACAAGCCGACTGGAGCAAAGGCAGAGAAAGAGGTGGAATTTGCTCAGAGCGATCCAATACGAGTTAGCGTGGAATCGAATGCTGGCCGTCAACCGACTCGTTCAACCTCCCCTTCTGGCGACGATACCGATCATGGAGACGAACAGCAAGACTCGCCCATCACCTCCATCGACGACGACTCCCGCGCAAGGCCACGCCTCAAACGAAAACCGTCTGGCATTGTGCAGGAACTGGTGGAAAGGTTTGATGGAATAGCAAAAGCCAAGAACCAGGAGTCCCCGGTAATACGACGCGCACAAAGCAAAAGCTCACTAAGTCCCCATCATCAGGACATCTCGGAGGAGGCGTCGGATTTTGGTGATTTTGAAGATCCTGAGGTCAAGGAATCACCACCAAAGTCTCCAACCCCAGAACGACCATCAACGCCAAAAGAGGTTCAGAAACCTTCTCCACAGCATAAATCTTCCCCCACGACATCTCTAGCGCAGTCGATGGGCAGCCCTCTAGGCCATTTGAACGAATCCGTGACCAAACTCGGCGCGTTGAATTTAAATATTGACTTGTCAAATGTAGACAAGCTATTTGACACATCCACCAACGTCAAACCGTTGTTTCCATACGCCGACGTATCGGACCACATCATTACTGATAGCTTTAACAGCATCTCAGAGCGCAAGGCCTGGTACCGCATATCTCGTTTCGGATCGTCGCGCAAACACAACGTGGGAGACGACGACAACTATAGAAGGGTCGCATGGTCGACGTCAACTATATGTCAGGAGACGCTTCAGACTGTCCGTCGATGGATGGAGGAAGACTCCATCGCAGGCCGTGTTTCCCTAGGTGGAGGAATATCCAAGACGCAAAAGAACATGTTTGGATGGGATTCCTCCGCGGAGCCAGTCACTCTTGATGCGATTTTTGGAAAGAGAACTCCGCCTACCCGACCCTCTTCCGTCCAACCACTCCAGCCACCAAGTGCATTTGGCCATTTGGGTAATTCACCCTTGGGCAACATTACGGTCAATTCTCTCAAACAGCAGCCGCATCGACCAGCGAGCCTTGAGTTACCACCAGTTGCCACATTCAGCTGGAATAGTGGCTCCCCAGCTTCAACAGGACAACCTCCCATGACCGCGCCCCTACCATTGACACCATCTCGACCAGCTCCAAGCCCTTTCAAAGTGACTCCAATGGATCTAGGAATGTCTTCCATCAGCGCAACGACAGCTGTCGAGGATAATGACGACGACTGGGGAGAGATGGTATCCTCGCCATCCGTGGAGAAATCTACCGTGGGCGGCTTCCCTGATTTCAACGCACCAGTGTCAACGTTGACCCCAACTCGGGGCTCTACTCCAGCCTCAAAAACAGTCGAATCCATGTTCCAGTCAAGCCCGGCCCCGGTCACGGTCATGTCCACACCTAACGCAGGAACTAATACCACCGCTCCCGTTACATCTCCGGCAGCGGATCCTTGGGCGTCAGCAGACTTCTCCTTTTTCGAGACCCCTTCTCGGCAACAAACTGGTCCCACGAGGTTCTCAGCAACGCCAAGCCGTCCATCCTCCATGATCGCCGCCTCTTTTACTCCAACGGCTCCTGCTTCTTCCATTCACTCCTTCGATTTATCGCGAGTGGCTACTCCCATCTCATCCGCCTCGTCAGTTATCGCACCCTACTCTTCCATGACTCGAAACAATAGTCCTGTTGCCGCGAAAGGGACGACTTCATCGGCGATATCGTCGCCCATCGCCCCTCAAATGACACCTACCCGCCAAATGACACCGACACTGGCGTTCGGCAGCCAGCAACAGAGCCAGCCGACAGAGGATGAACCTACTGTCGGCTCCATCATTGGCGGTCTACCGGACTTGTCTTATATGCTGCGTTAATGAGTCCAAGACATGACCATTGATCCGTCGGACGAGCGGCGACGACAAAAGCTAGCGGCTCTCAATTGTACACAAGGCTGGGTAGCCTGTTTAATACATAGACTGTAATTGTAATCGTCCAAGGCGATTTGTTGCGACTTTCCTAGGCATGCATGGCGCTGGCGTTGTGGGGCGGGGGAGATGATTTTGCCATGTAATCGAGAGTTGTGTACTACTGTACAGAAAGCAATGACATACTCATGTTGGGTCTGGGGTAATCAAATCAACGGCCCATGGACTGTTTTGTGTACCATTTCTGTGTGTTACGTTGGGATCTCTGTCGTTTTCCTCTATGGTACTGTCTTTGTGCATGGTATTGAAGATGTTTTCGTGAGGCCAGTTGAGCCGGTTTTCTGTCATGGGGGCAGTGGTGTTGCTCGAATCTGATTTAATTGCATTTGAGATTCTGTTAGACCCAACCCATTGGTAAGTTGGGGTTACAATGGTGGGCAACGACCGCTCATGCCGGGAGCACCCAGCTCGGAACACATGAACGGCTGTTTCTCTGTGGAACAGAACGGACCTTCTGTGTCTCGTGGCACAAGCATCTTCTCGGGCGATGACGATTCTGCCGAGGGATCGCGCCTCGTACAGGAAAGAAAACTTGGAGATAGGCGCTGGATGTGACATTCCGTCCAATATTCTCGAGCATGCGTTGCGGTATACACCGTATAACGTACCACGACATATAATCGCAGACACTTGCCACCCAGTATTGCAACATCCGTCCAACACATCCGAGAGAACTGAAAATGGAGGCAAACCCCGGCCACCGCTCCATACCGATTACCTTATACTACATCACATTTTCTCTTCTCGCGACAAACGATGTGGCTCGGAGTCGCGAGGAGGCCGAAAACCTTTACGCAGGTTATCAAGGTTGTCAGCGTCAGAGCGCCGAGGAAAACAGCCTGACAGCATCGAGAAAACAAAAACATCCCAGGCGATCCCACCGACTTTCTCTCCCCCATACATAAACTTCTTGCCGCTCTCCACTGCCGGTTCGGAAATTGGGGTCGATGGAGAACGGCAGTCCCCGCACCGCATCGTCGGCTCGTGGGGGACTGGGGCCTCTCGGACGGCGTGCCGTGGTGCTCGGCCGGCTTGGCCAAGTGCTTGGACGACCCCAACGCCCAATTGCGCCCCTGAAAAGAGCCCCATTTACCCCAAAATACCGCCAGCCTACCCGGTGAAAGCTAAAGGAACTCGGGTGGAGTTACCGAACGGTATCAAACACCGGGCCATGGCCGCTGGGGAGCTGGCGGTTGATCAACGGCGGAGTTTGGCGGTAGCGTCATTGATGGGGACCAGATGCCAAACCGAAAGGGCCGAATGAGTTTATCTCCATCTGCCATTACCAAGTCGATTTGCCTCCTTTTTCTTTCTAACAAACGGAATTCGCTTCATTACGTGTACAAGGAAACGCCAACATCCTGTAACCCGTGCTTGGCTCTGTACCCCGCGAAAAGATTTCCATGGCCGGTTCCACCTAAATCTATCACTAAGCACTTACACCGACCGAGCCGTCTCCGTACGAAAATGGTGGAGAGCGGTCCGGGCGGTTGCCCACACTCTGGTCGAGTTAGGCGCGAGTCAACGCGGGGTTCACAACCAACAGGGAGACAAGCACGCAGACAAACTTGAAGCAGAGGAGGGTAATGCGACGTGAAACTGGATAAGATGCAACAAGATCCCCACCACGCACACAGTAGCTGATCGTCCTAGGCCCAACCCGGGAGGGCTAGCGTCATATGGATCCTTGTTGGCATCGCTCACAGCCGCAAGTGCACATGCCTGGCTCTGTACTTATAGACATATCAACTTCAGCCCAGTTCCTCTCATCTTTTCTATTTCACTCCCTCGACCTGCTCTCCTTGACTCGTCCAGAACCAAGCTGATCAGTCATCGAGATTCTCAAGATGGCCATCGTCGCACTCCTCGCGTCCCCATGGGCGCCCGTCGTCCTGTTGGTGGGGGTTGTCTTTTACTATCTTGTCCCCTACTTTGTCACGTATAGCGCCCTGCGCAAGATCCCATCTCCCTTCCCAGCCCAGTTCACGGATCTCTGGCTGCTGTCAGTATGCCGGAGAGGTAACAGATACGAAAGGGTGGACGAGCTTCACAAGAAGCTGGGTCCCGTTGTTCGTATCCAGCCCAACCATGTCAGTATCTGCGATGACTCTGCCATTCCCACCATCTACGGCCACGGAAACGGTTTCCTCAAGTCGTAAGTTTTCTACATCGACATAGTGAACTCCATAGTCTCCCCCTGCTAACAGCCCGCAGTGACTTCTACGATGCCTTTGTCAGCATTCGCCGTGGTCTCTTCAACACCCGCGATCGTGCTGAGCACACCCGCAAGCGCAAGATCGTTTCCCACACCTTTTCAGCCAAGTCCGTCTTGCAGTTCGAGCCCTACATGCACTCCAACCTGGAACTCTTCGTCAAGCAGTGGGACAGCATGATCAAGAACTCCAAGAGCGCCGATAAGGCCGCCCATCTCGACTGCCTCGAGTGGTTCAACTACCTTGCCTTCGACGTCATCGGTGATCTCGCCTTTGGTCAGCCCTTCGGCATGCTTTCCTCCGGCGCCGATATGGCCGAGATTCGCTCTTCGCCCGATGCTCCTCCCATCTACGCGCCCGCTATCGAGATTCTCAACCGCCGCGGTGAGGTTTCCGCCACCCTCGGCATCCACCCCGCCCTCAAGCCCTTCGCCAAGTACATCCCCGACGCTTTCTTCACCAAGGGTCTCACCGCCGTCGAGAACCTGGCCGGTATCGCCATCGCCTGCGTCAAGTCCCGCCTTGACAACCCCCTCCCGAAACCCGCAAGGATCTCCTGCAGCGCCTGATGGAAGGCCGCGACGAAAAGGGCCAGCCGCTCGGCCGCGAAGAACTCACCGCCGAAGCCCTGACTCAGCTCATCGCCGGCTCCGACACCACCTCCAACTCGTCCTGCGCCCTCCTCTTCCACGCCGTCCGCACCCCCGGTGTCATGAAGAAGCTCCAGGCCGAGCTCGACGCCAACATCCCCGCTGAAGTTGACGTGCCTACCTACGACATGGTCAAGGACCTTCCTTACCTGCAAGCTGTCATCAACGAAGCCCTCCGCTACCACTCCACCTCCGGCATCGGTCTCCCCCGTCAGATCCCTCCTGATGCCCCCCAGGGCGTGCACATCCAGGGACACTACTTCCCGCCCGGCACCGTTCTTTCCGTTCCTACCTACAGCATCCACCACAGCAAGGAGATCTGGGGCCCCGATGCGGACGAGTTCAAGCCGGAGAGGTGGGAGAACTTGACCACCCGTCAAAAGAACGCGTTCATCCCCTTCAGTCATGGTCCCCGCGCTTGTGTCGGCAGGAATGTCGCCGAGATGGAGATGAAGCTGATTGTGGCGACGTGGGCGAGGAGGTACGAGGTTCAGCTGTTGCAGGATAGGTTGGAGACCAGGGAGGGTTTCTTGAGGAAGCCGTTGGGACTGGAGGTTGGGTTGAAGTTGAGGAAGTAAATAAGCTTTTGGTTGTAGCGATGGCAGGAGAGAGATACGGTATGGGAGTGATGGGTGGTTTAGTGGGGTGTGTTTATGGTTACTTACCTATGCTCGGGATGACGTGCATAGGGTTTACATATGATGACGATGATGCATTGCAGCGGAAGGAAGCATGTTCCTGTATGTACTTGCGGTACTTTGGAATTTTTGTACATTATTGATAGCAAATAAGTTGAGTCAAATTCTTCTTTTCTCATTTGTGACTTTCATTTCCTTTTCAGACCATTTTCATTGCGCTGCAAAGTCACAAGCATTGTTCCACAACCCCTTCACGATCATGCTGCGTCTGACTTTGAACAAGACTTAGAAAATATAATAACAAAAAGAACAATCACAACGTCGATACACAAAGAGCATGAAGGCAAAAAATGAAAAAAAGAGAATTTTTGATTAGGTTTTGCCCACAGCCAGAATCGAACTGACGACCTCATCATTACTAGTGATGCGCTCTACCACTGAGCCATGCGGGCTTCAGATATCTTTTGGCGTTAGATGTAGACCCTATTAAGCCAAACGAGCATAGCATCCCTACCAACGCTCGCGAATCTGTCTTCGTCAAGGTCGTCAACGACACTCGGCGATGCTTACAGATTTGTGCGCTTTCTGGCATCCAATAACATTGAGTAATGAGTGGCAATGGTAGAGCTACGAATTCCTATTTTTCCTTGGCATATGTTGCTAGGACGACCTACAAATGGGTATCATGAGCGCTGCCAAGGTCTTCCCATCCGATCACTAACTCCCTCAACTCCGGATACCCGCTTGCTTGACAAAACACAGGCTCGCAAAACCGTTCCCAAGTATAAACCATGCAATAACAATATTTTTCTGTGCTCAAGGTCCATAAATCTTCTTCTCGTCCTCCTCCTACTCCTACTCCTACTCCGCCTCGTCATCGTCGTCGTCGTCGGAGAACGTGATCAAATCGTCCGCCTTATCATCGTTGTCGGCATTACCGGCAGTGTCAATCAACTGCGGCTGAGGCAAGCGGAGGCACACGGGCATAGTGCTTTGAGCGTCAGGCAACATGTTAATAGGTAGGGCCATGGGGTCGATACCCCAACGGACGTGAAGGCTAGGCCATGTGGACCTCAGCAGCTTACGGGCAGCTTGCGCCTGAGCGCGAAAAGAGCAGAACGTCCAGCGGAGAACGCGCTGGTGGTTGTCCTCAAGAACAGTAGCAACACCCTGAGTGTCGTATTTTAGATTGGCATTGAATAAGGGCGAAAGCCTGTGAACATTCACCACCTCGACAGGGCCTCGGATCTCCAAGACGCGAGTGGCGCTTTTGGAAAACTCTATCTTGGGTGCGGACCTGTTGTCGTTTCAGGCCACACCGACGGTCCTTCCTGCGATCCGAAGGTTGCGCGCGTAATTGAAATGGTAGAGATAGACTGCATATTCGCGATTGAACATCACGATTTTGGCGCAAGAAGCACTGCTATGACCGCCGACGTAGGTAGTAGGCGCAATGGACGTGGCATAGACACGTCCGAAAAGGGCGTGGATGCCCAGCGCATCCAGAAGGATCTTGTCGGTTGTTCCGACCGGGAGGTTTGTCAGGAACAAGGCGCAGTTATCTTCAGGGGAGATTCCCAGCAAGGAGTTCTTCGGATTTGTGATGTCACCCTTATAGCGCAAGGAGAAATCGTGGCTCAGTCTTTCCTCCGCTGTGAAGGTAGGATCCTGACCCATCACTGTGTCCATCGGGCGGAAAGAAGTGGACGAAGTGGAGGGTGAAGCCCTTGATTAGGGCTTGTTCGGCGGCGGCCTTTGTCTGTGGGGTAGAGTTATGAGTCTCAGCCTTACGGCGCCAGTCAAGAGCGGAGAGGGCCGCAGATTCCGAGTTTGTCTTATTGGACGTTATTGCCCGACGGTGAGGGGCGACATAAGTGTTGGTACGCGTGTTCGAGGATGTTGAACGGTTGCTCGCTTTGTGGGTAGATATGTGATCGTCCGAGCAAGTCAATTGAGTGTCGAGTAACGAGTCGCATTTGTTTTGTTTGTTCTTGGACATCTTGAATTTGGGGATGTAAAGTCCTTGTTGCTCATTGGACAGTCAGTACCAGATGCCAAACATTATTCTGGGAAGATGCATTTACCAAGGTAGTTGAATGTGCTGAATCTGAGCTGTAGATGCTTTTGAATGAGGCCAGAAAAATACCAGGCCACAACAGCAACTTCCTTGGATGGGTATGTTGTTTCGTTAGATCTGGGCGACCGTTTGGAAGGGTTGGAAGGTCAAACTCCAGAAGTTCAAAGTGAGGAGGGATTGGAGGGAGAATTTGGTATTTTTATAGGCAGACTGAGAAGGAAAAATTGTGCGACTGTGGTCCGTTCATGAGTGCAAATTCTGGAATAAATGGGTGTAGTAAAGGGGATCTATCAAAGCACCGTTCGCTTGGCTTCTTGGACATTCTGTCCAGTCCATGGCCTGTTCTCCACGGCGACGGGCTGTCATTGAAGTAACATAGGATGAAAAGCCTGGAGTATCTTCCTGGGAAGTCAACCAGTGAGCGTAATTACGCGCCATGTCGAGCTGAGCATTGCTGAGATTTGGTGTTCGTTTGGGCAAGTATTGGATCTAGTGGGAGGCAGGATACTGAATTTTATATCGCAGAGTCATACACAACAGAAACGTGGATGAATACAATGGTATGGGACCACGGTCGTAGAGTAGACTCAGAAATACACTCACCAATTTGACGCAGTTTGAGCGTGATGGAAACACGTAGAGCAAGTGTTCTCCGTTTTTAATTACGGTCCGGTCATGTCACCGTTTCTTGATTGCTTGGAATCAGTCACGATTCTTGGAAAAGGGAAACACGGTCAAGTATCAAGGTTAATAATTTCAGCATAATTCTCACATATCAGTTTGCGGTGTGCTGGTATCTTGTAATTCGGCGACTTTCGACTTGCAGTGCTCCGCTAGTTTTCCAATGTTTGACTCACATGATGAGTTTCCTCGGTATCACTCATTACAACTTGCATCCGCAGTGAAGTGGTTTCTTATCAGCAACGAAGTTGGCCACATCATCCATGCCCCTGAAGCTTATGACACCCCTTCGAGGAAAGAGCGTTGCTCAATTTTGACCACACCGCTGGTGTCCCGTTCCTTCCTTCACTTGTCCTTTCATGACCCCACCACACCACATTCACCAACCTGCCAGGGCAACACCAGCAGCGGCAAACTGGCACGGGCACCTGCTTTCCTGTGGCAGTACCTGCACTAGGACCTTATAAGCACCAAATTGTAGACCTTTCACCACGGTCCAGTAGCCTACCTAGTAGCGCGTTGGATCCAGAAACTGCGTGGTAGTTTCGTAGGCCAAGCTTAACTCCAACGGAAAATTTGGGTTCGACCGGGAGTTGGGCCGCTTAGCTTTTTGGCTTTTTTTCGCCTATGTTATCTCTCCTTCAATCAGCTTTTCGAATACCAACAATATCGCCGAGTCAGAACATTGAGACCAATTTTGGTACGGCAACTTTCGCTTAAAATCCGACCATTACTCCTTGAAGTGGTCCATATCCATTACTCCCTGCCCCATTCGCTCTCGACCTGTGTTCATTGTCGCGATACCTAGTGCAGGCCCTCATCGAGGTCGAAGGTGCAGGCACAAGACTCCTCCATGAACTCACTTTGGCAAACCTTCAGCCGGGTGCTACTCCGGAAGCTGGTCTGTAAGGATCTCGGGGAGGGTCTGACGCCTGTGTGGGCTTCCCGTGTGTCATCCGCAAACATTTCCGCCTCTTGCCGTCAGCAGGCCTTTATAAGCAGCGCCATAACACAGTGGAACTAACGTTCCGTTTAAAGCATCAGTTCAAGAACGGTACACGGAAGTGGGAGTATTTATCACAGGAGATCAACCTGGTTGATCAAATTCAGCTCCAGGCATCTTGCTCTTCCTAGTTCGAGCACACATTCAACCCAACATCAACCTTAGTCCATCATCACTCAATCGAACACTAGCAGACCTTTACCAAGTTGGCATTGATCTCAGTACAGCGACTTGCCAAGATCTCTAACAGAGCACCCCACTCAACCGGCCAGACGACGTGATTTTGTCCTCATGGATTGCATTAGGGGAAGCAACTCTGCCAACGCGGCCACGGAAGAAGCAACGCAAGAGATTCACTCGAGGGTGATCAGGAACGTGTCACCGTCCGAAAGCTGCAATCTCACAGTGACCAATCTGCCGCGAGGCACAACTGAAAAAATATGACTTGATGCTCTTTCATTGCATGGACCTCTGGGCAAAGTCTTTCAGTGCCACATCTCGCCTCAAGGACTTGATCTTCAATATGCGGAGGCCAAACTGATCATGTTCACGAGAGAAGCCGCAGAGAAAGTTTTTGCACTGGTCAACGAATGGCATTTGGTTATAGGAGCATTGATGGCCTGGATTTGCTACAACGCCGTAGACCCTATAAGGTATCACTGCACGAACTGCCTGCTGCTGAGTCCCGGGTGTTGGTTATAAGGGGCAATCGAGAAATTGTCGATGTTCATCATCTTCATAAATTTCTTTGCAGAAACTTGGAGTTCAAAACACAAGATGTGTACGTCAAGGATGTGAATGCGGAGGAGAGAACCATCGAGTGGGTGTTTTGCTCATACCCCCCAGAGGCGGGAAAGGCCAGAGCGTGCCTGATGAAGGAGTATCCTCAGCTCATGGTTAGTTTTGGCGTGGATCCCATGGCTGTAACACTCGCGGAGCGACCTGGAACAGGAGCAACGCTCACGGTGGTCCCGCTGTGATCTTGCCTGCTGCGGAGGCGGTTGCTCATGACGACGGCGAGGGAAACGGAACGGAAATTGAGACTTCTCTCCATCACATTTTAATAAAGGCTTTCTCCCTCGGAAATAGTTATTGAGCGATAGCCCACGACGCTGGGGCCATTTGTCTTTGGTTTGGGGCGTGGTGAAGGGTTCGTGCATCCTGTCTGTCGGTCATGTTTGTCCCTTTGGTCAATGTCGAGCAATGACTGACATTTTGCCAGGCTCAGAAAAATAGGTAGCAATGAATTACAAGACCCTATTGTTGATTTTCTGTTCATGATAGTGTCGTCAGTGAAGTCTTCGTCGGCCTCGATTAGGAGTACCCTAACCCTACCTACAAAAGCTTGGCATGCTCCTTGCCATTTTGGGATGGACCATCCGCTGACGACGACTACAAGGCCTCCCAAAGGTGAAATCATGGATGTCGTCGAAAATACTCTTGAGAAAGTGATGTGGCTGACTCGGACAGAAGTGATCACCAATCGGGGCTTGTTCATGGATGTGGCAAGTAGTTGTCAGTCGAGGACACCACTTCGTTGCGAGTGGAGAGGCTTCTCGCGAATCACATCGACGGAAGCCATCTCTGCATGGCATCCTCTTCCTCGCTTCCCATACTTTCTTGATTCTGACCCGATTGCGCCCACTCTTTTCGCCGAGCAGTCATTCAATCGCGCGGGGTTCGGACGCTTTGACGTCACCCACGGTTTCAGGGAATCCTGTATCTCTTTGGGCGTCATAATCTGACGATTCCCGGTGCGCTGCCCAGTGTGATGGATGTAGGTGGTCTTGTGACAATGTGCCAAATCTCGACCTATATCAGACCCAAAACCCTGGGTGTCTGTTCTAGAAGACTTTTGTTTCCAAAGAGATCGGATCGTCGCATTTCAAGTCAAAAAACTCTCCGAGACACACTATATCTCAACGGTCTCGATAGCCGCCCTATCCACTACCCCCAGAACCTAAATCTACTGTAACATGCCGACGGCAACAGCGGTCAAGACGCAGCCGTCCGCTGCGGTCTGTAAGTCGAGGTCCCACTTTCCCCTTTCGGTGTACAGGCTGACCCAAGGGACTGAACCACCCAACAGCTTCTACTCCCAAGGTGAAGAAGACAACAACGAAGACGACAACGGCAGATGCACCCAAGGAAGTCAAACAAGTGAAGCATCGCAGCTCATCGACAAAGCCCAAATCAACGCCACTCGCGGAAACAACCGACAACGTTGTCAAGAAGCCAAAAATTGAAGGCCATCGACGAAAACAAGATCTCGACAATCGATCATGCCGTCAAGAAGAAGCCGACTGCTTCCACCTCGGCCCCGGCCGAAAAGAAAGCACATGCGGTTCACAGCAGCAACACCCATCATCACAAGGTAGTGCCCTCAACAAGCACCAAGAAATCGTCATCCGGCCATACCCATACGCACAGCTCGAGCCACCATACCCACGCCCCCACCACGACGACCAAAACATCGAGCCACAGACGGCATACCTCGACACAACCTGACGATAGCAGCAAGCACGAGAGCAGCAGCTCTCACCGCCACGGTCGTCGTCACCACGCCCACCATCATCACAACCCCGACGGCTCTTTGACTCGCCACGGTGCCCGCGTCGCCGCTGCCACCAGCTCCTCAATCGCCAAGCCTCTCGCGCCAGCCAAACCCTACGCGCCCGCTCTCGATGCCGACGGCAACCCCAAGCCCAACATCCGCCCGGCTACCATGACAGCGCACATCAAGCGCGCCGTGCGCAAGTCCGAGGCCATGAACCCTTCCAAGCCCGCCAAGGTCGAGCCCGAGACTGTGCTGCCCAAGGTCCACGTCCCGACTCCGCAGACGGCGCGCCAGAAGGCTGCCGCCGCTGCCGAAGCTGAGGCGGCCAAGCGGGCTAAGAAGGTTGAGCAGCAGCAGCAGCTTGAGTTGGATCAACAACAACAACAACAGACCCAAGCGCCCAAGAAGAAGGAGAAGAAGTACGCGCCCGAGGCGATGATTCCTACTTCGAGGTTTGTCGGGAACGTTGGCAAGACTGTCGGCGGTGCGCTCGATACTACCGGCCAGGTGGCCAAGGGCGTTACCGATACTGTTGGACGCACGGCTGAGGGCGCACTTGGTGGAGGCGTGGGCAAGACTGTTGGTGCGGCGGCTGGTGGTGTTGGCGATACACTTGGTGCGGCGACGGGAGGATTGGGACAGACAGTGACGGGAGCGACAGATGGGTTGGCGAAGGGTGGCCCGCTGGGCGCGGTTGGTGGGGTTACGACAGGATTGGGTAACACTGTGGGAGGTGTCGGAAAAGGACTGGTAAGCTTGAATTTCCCTTTGCCATTTCGTCATTGCTTTTTTTGCTTCTCTTTGGTGGTTATGACCTTTGCTGGGACCCCTTTTGTTTTTCTGTTTCCATCCTTCACCTTCTTTCCACCCCATCTTCCCTCCACTTCCCCTTCCTTCGTCGCAACTTCATATTTCCTATCTTCAACGCTCCATCTGATCATGTGTTCGGATAACAGGGGCAAAAAGAGTCGAGGATCTGGCAATGGTTGAACCAGACGCAGGACGGTCTGACCGCCAAATAACCGATCGCTTGCTGACTTGCCAATCCTTCTTGCGCTACAAACAGGGCGATACCGTTGGCGGAACAGTCGGCGGCCTCGGCGACGCAGTTGGTGGACCACTCGGAGGAGTGGTCGGAGGGCTCGGCCGTGGTGTCGGTGGTGCCGTTAGCGGTATCACTGGCGGCCTAGGTGACGGAGTCGGAAAGATTGGACAGGGCGACCTGCTTGGAGGAGTTGGTGATGTCGTTGGTGGTGTTACCAATGGTGTTGGAGGGTTGTTGGGCGGCGTTCTTGGCGGCTTGGGCGGTGGAGGTGAAGGAGGAGGATTATTAGGCGGTGGAGGCGGCGGAGGATTGTTAGGTGGCGGAGGTGGTCAGCGGCGTTAAGGTCAATGTTTTTGGCAATTGGTTGAGATTTGCGAGGAGGAACAGTCATCTTAACGACAGCTCGAGGATTTATCAAGTTAAGTTCCGAGCCTTTACGGGTCTATGCGTTGTCGATTTGAAAGAGGAAGGAATGTTGCACATGTACGATAGGGAGATGCGGTACCAGCTAGCGAGTAACACGGAAACACTCATGCTTTCTGATGATTTCGATAGAATATGTTCCTGCATGAAAACCTTATGACGAATGTTGAATGAGTCAACAAATGTTTCTCTAAGTCTAATGAATGTACAATCGGAAAACTAATGGCCACTCCTGATCCTGACGCTGACGAACTGTTTAACATCTCATTACAGCACAGTGACCAAAGAATAATTCACATACGCGAAAAAAGAAAAAAAAAGGAACAACGCCATATTCGGTCGGGATAGACGCTACGAGCATTCAGTAAGGTTGAAAAAAAAGGCAAAAAATGAGGTCGTGCCCGGGTTCGAACCGGGGTTACCGGAAGAATTGAAGAGCTTCAAAATCCAGAGTGATAACCACTACACTACACAACCCTGCAACTTTCGTTGAGGCAAAAGTTTGGAACATTAGCATATAAGCTCCACTGTCTAGCTTGCAGCCGGCCGGCAAGCTTGCGACCCATCCTAAGCTCATTGGAAATGACAGATGTAGTTCAAAAGGCAATGAATTTTCTTTCTGCACATTCTGACTCTCAATTATCTTCTCCTAGAAACCAAACAGGGCTTGTGCAACCGTTCGACCTTGCGGTGTCGTCACCCTTTGAAGGGACGGAAATAGGTGGCTCGAGCACAACACCCTAAATGCTTATGCCTGCGAGACAAACAGGGCCACTCGCTCCCCCGCAACAGCATCGCCAGGCCCCGCCTAACTTTATTTTGACCTCCGACACCCTCCCCATCACCCAAGATCAAATGAAAGTACCGGTATCGCGGCCAAAGCAAAAGCAATGAAAGGAACGATCTTTGTGGAGATCGGCACCAACTACGATCGATACCCTACCGTGTGGAAACTTGCTCTGACCACCTTGACAAAGCCAATCGCATCTGGAAATGCAAAAGCCGGTTGAGACATCATGACGCATTTCATCTGCTTGCTGAGCGCTGCTTGTTTTCCACTCTACTGTCATGATGGCTGTGTATATCACCATTCATAGCCCAACTCGCGATGACTTGACACTTTTTATGCCATGCGCGCACAGCTTTTCAGCGCCAATTCCAAGGTGATATCCAACCGACCTCCCTTTTCGACCCGTTTGATGCCACTTTGGAAATCCGCAGAGCAAGAGCCCTTGCTTCCAACCAATATGGCGAAGGAAGAGCAGAAGAAGAGGGTGCTTGTTGTGGGCGCAGGTGCTGCTGGTAAGGCTTCTTGATATCATCGGCAACTCCTCGCTTCCAGATGCTGATGATCTTGGGTAAATAGGCATGACATGCGCCTCCCATCTAGCGAACCACCCGGACAAATTCGACGTGACCGTCATCGAAGCCGCCGACTACTGCGGTGGCCAAGCCTTCTCCATTCCCATCGATAAGAAGAAGCACGGCGCATCATGGCTCAACCAAGGCGTTCAGGGCGGCTCCTATATCTTCCACCATACGATGACCATGTTCGCCCGTCAAGGTTACGCCGCCAATCCCGTCAACCTTCAAGTTTCCTTCGGGAAGGACCATCGCTTCTGGACCAACGTCTATCCGACTAAGCTACTGGAACGGCACCAGAGCGAGGTCAAGCGCTTTTACTGGATGCTTTCTTTTGTCCGATGGTTCGAGTTGATCTTCGCGTTGCTCCCGATCAAGTACCTGATGAAGCTCTTTTGGTTCAGCTACGAGTTCGCAAACACGGTTGCTCTGCCCATGGTCGCCCTATTTCTGGGCACCGGGAACTACACGCCTGACGTGCCCACCATCATCCTCGAACGACTTTGTACCAGTCCGACATATGGGATGTGGTACCCGGCTGATAAGGAGAGCATCGCTAGCAACATGCCGCCCATGATCGTCTTTCCGAACTTTGGCAATTTCTACGAGGACTGGCGCAAAGATCTTGTGAAGAGAGGGGTCAGCATTCGGCTGTCTACCGAGGTAACCCAGATATTGAGTCGCGATAAGGATGGAGTGGTGGTCAAGACTATCAAGCGAACCCCAATGCCGGACAACCATAACTCAACGAGCGCCTGGACAGCCGAGGATCCGGTCATGAACGCTGATGCCAACGCCGAAGAGACAACCGAACACTATGACGAGATCGTTATCTGCTGCCTGTAAGCCCTTCTATACCTTCCCCATTCCCGACACCGTCTCACACGATCCCTTCCAGTGCCGACACAGCCAAACGCCTTCTCGGCCGCACCGCCTCCCTCCGCGAGCGCCAAGTCCTAGGCTCCGCCAAGTTCTCCGACGACATCACCATCACCCACACGGACTCCGTCTACATGCGCAAGCACTACGAGAACTTCTTCAACGAGTCGCAGGCCGTCAGCTCCCTCTCGGGCGTCGACCACTCCTCTCGCGTTGACTTTGCCCGCAACAACTTCCGCCCCATGTACTACATCAAGCCCTACGACGCCGACCTGACCAAGCTCGAGATGGGCTTCGACTGCACCAACTACCAGGCCCAGTTCCCGCCCGAGGTCGATTTCGACAACCACGTGTTCCAGACTATCTACCTCAACAAGCAGCGCGACGGACACCTCTGGACAGATACCGAGATCGATGAGTCCAAGATCATCCGCAAGGATTGGTGGCATCAGCTGTGCCACTCGTGGACGCACTACGTTTTTGTAGTGCCCTGGATGCCGTTACTCCAGGGCAGGAGACACACACGGTTCGCGAGCTCATGGACAATGATCAACGCGCACGAGGTGGCGGTCATGAGCGGGATCGCAGCCGCGGTGGATCTGGGGGCACAGTACCCCGAGGATCTCGAACGGGATGGGTTTGCCCTGTTGAGCTTTAGGCTGTATTACCTGCTGGTGTATGGACGGTGGTATAGGAGGAGAGTGAAGAAGGAGGATAGAATGGGGGAAGGACATGAGTGGGCGACGGGGATCTATGGGAGCGTTTACAAGGGACCGGGGGTGACAGAGAAGGAGAGGGAGATGTGGAGGGAGGAGAGGGCGAGAGAGATGAATGGCGGTGCGAATGGTCTGGCGAATGGTCTTGCGAATGGTCATGGTGGGAAGTGATCTTTCGAAGCTGCGAGCGGATGTTGATGTCGGCACGTGCCCATCGCTAAAATATCCTAGCTGACGAACAGCGATTCTTTGCTCAACCATCTTTTTGTTGTCAAGTTGTCGTCTGGGAAAAACACACTTGAATTGATGTGCTCTACATCATCTTCCACTTAAGGTCAGGGGACGTTTGGCCGGCCTGAGTAAGGCAGATTTCCCACTGTGGGAAGTGAGAGACGATATATTGAATCACTCAGGCCTGTTACCCCTGGGCCTAGGTCGACTCTTCGTGTTTCGCCGACCGTGACGAAAATCGGCAGGTACGGATTTAGGTGGGAGTTCGCCCGCATGCGAAAGACGGCAAGTACGGTGGACGATTGTCTCCACTCTAGGTAGGTTCCGTTGTCCCCCACCACAGTTTTCACCTTTAGGGCATTGGCAGGAGATTGACTGTCCTGTCCTCTTCCTCTTCGTCTTCTTCCACCAAATCAGTCAATCCATCGAAATCACAAGCACATTGGTTCCCGTCCTCCTCACTGTGCAACTTCGCGTCCGGGTGGGCCACATGCTGAGAGGCGGGACATACAACTATCTACCTATCGTCAGTCACCTTGCTGCGTCTCTTGACTAGGTAAGCCTTCTTGTACATTTGGAAAGAGCACTTCACTTGGGTTTTGCATCAGCGAGTACGTCGACCTGGTCTGACCCGCCATTCCTTCTTCCTGAACCTGGCCGCCAATCCAGCATTTCCCCAAGTCCTTGCTCCCATAATTTCACCTCTGTTCTCCCACTGACATGCCGCCTTTCGGACCACAGAAATGCACCTTGCGGGACACACACCGTAGGATGTGATTTCGGGACTCTGGTGTACAGATTTTGCCTATTGAGGCACCTTCCATGAGATGACACAATAGCCCGCCTACCATCTACTTGTATTGGACTTTTTTTTTCGACTTGATATTCTTTTCTTGCACTTCTTCGACGTCCTTTTACATCAACCCACGATAACCGCACCCTGGCTGAAATCTGTTGCGTCCGCCACTCGGCGACTTGCAACGGATATCATCAAACCAAAGGCCCGACGTATCCGTGTCCACTTCAGGGCCTCGACCTCGACATCGCAGATAAGCTGCTACATTGCAACTCGCCAGCGCCCCTCGAGAAGAGTTCAAGTAAAATCTTGAGTCTTCCTGACTCGTAACCGAGGCATATTTGTATGGAAACCCGCTGGCACTGCTTTGACGTTCTATGCTGACCAAGACGCCAGCCGTACGGCATTAGGCTTGAGATAATTACCAACCCCCGATTGTCATCACCATGAAGTCCCTCTTGGGTGTCTTCCCTGTCGAAACGGTCGACAACATTGTCAAGTATCTCCCCACCCGTGACGCCAACAACTTCGCTCGAACCTGCTGGGCGGCCTACTGGAGGGCTGACCCCCATGTCTGGAAGGACAATGTGCCCACGTCAACAAAGCCAGGCCCAATTACCTGGGGTGTAGTCACGAGGCAAATGAAGGTCATTAAGAAGGCCGTGGAGGCTGGCGCAGATGTCGACGCCCCCGACTGGTTGGCTTGTTTTCACATACCTGAGCGTTGTGATAACGGCCCCGATGAATGGTCGTTGGCTAGAGCAGCGAGTCACAACGCGAATGGTTCGCCACTTCACTTCGCCGCCATGACCAACAACTGTGAAGCGGCTCAATACCTCCTTCAAAAAGGCGCAACTCTTCACGATACCAACCCTGAGCTGGACAATTGGGCACTGAACATGTGCTCGTGCCACTGGGTAGATGAGACTTGGCACTGGCCACGCGATGACTCAGACGCAGACTCAGAAGAAGAGGAAGAGTTAGTCAAACACCATCAAGATTATTTCACCCTACCTTTACATACGGCAGTCTGCCACAAAAGTCCTGAAGTCGCCAAGCTTTTTCTGGAACACGGAGCCAGCGTCTATCTTCATGGCAGTTACCGTCACGCAGTAGAGGCTGCTGCAAGGGCGAATGCCACTTATCCGTACAACGACTTTCTTCACATTCTCGTCCGAAAAGGCACTGACTATCTGGCCATGATTGATTTGATCGCACAATGTCCCGATATCGACATCGATGGAATGGAATACGGATATGCAACCCCTATACAGAATGCCTGTTCGACACCGCACAATGCCGCTGTCATCGCAAAGCTGGCAAAACTTGGCGCCATGGAGACATGGAATGTTTACTCACAGGATTGGATGCATTGTTGTATTCGCAGTGGCATGTACGACAACACCTTGGCCCTCCTCAAAGCTGGCCTTGAAGTCTTAAACCCTGAGGTCCGCAGCGTCATTGGATCAGATACTGCCCTACTCTTTGCCGACGCAGTGGAATTTGAAGCAGGTATGGAGGAGAGCCACGTTAAGCATGTCAAGTCCATTATCCGCATGCTTGTCCAGGACTATGGCCTGAAGCTCAACGCTCCTCTCTTTGACCATCCTACAAACAAAGACACGCCCTTGGAGTACCTGATTGGTGGCAACTGCCCAAGGCCAGAATATCTGTTCCAGTCGCTTGTGGACCTAGGCGCTCGACTTGACCTTCGAAACAGAAAAGGCCACAATCTTCTTGTGCGCTATCTATGGATGGAGCAGTCGGTTACCAAGACCCCGCAGACTCCTCCAAATAAGGGCGTCCGCAAGGGTGTGGAGGCGCGTTATTTCGTCTCTCGCTCGATCATCCGCCCGCAGACGATTCGTGCGCTCATCGAAGCCTATAAATGGGCGAATATTAGATTGGATGATGAGTATACGTGGGGAAAGGTTGACTTGAAGCTTAGTTGGATTCTGGAGATCCGGTTTCCGGAGTGGGGTGAGATCCCGTTCCCGGGGTGGAAGGCTCCTGAAGGATTTGAGAATAATAGGGCTTTGTGGAAGAATCTTGATGAGTACCTTGTCTATAGCGGGGTGTTAGAGTTTGATTGAAGAGCTGGCTATCTGGGAAGACGGGGTTGTTCTTAGTAGAGGTCAAGGGACGGAATAGGGGCGTCAGCGGTTGAAATTCTAGAAATCTACTCTCAAGGTTCAGGTGTAGTCCCTGCACAGCCATGTTGAAGTCACCTCCCTGGTTCTCTGCTATGTCCTCCGAAATCAATCCTCGCCTTGTTTGCATGCTTCCTCTCCGTATTTTTCATTGCTGTTTTATGGGTAATTTCAGTTTGAACTTTCTCTCTTTTCTTTTTGTGAAATAGCCACCGATCGGTATCCACAACACGACTGCCGGTAGACTAAGTGAAAATAGGACACCCGCTCATTCTATTGTTGTGATTGAGTTGGAGTAAACCTACCCGCACCCTAAGCAAACGGAGCGGCACCCCAACCCCTACATATGTCAGCTGTTATGTAAATTATCGAATTTTAGCGGTAAAACTAACCGTTTTGAATAGTCATTACCATATAAATTACCTATTTATATAACACAAATTTAACCCAATTAAAGTCGTTTAAATTTTAAAATAAATCAATAGTATTGAATCTAAATTATAGCAAATTGACTGCTTTATTTAATTATCTAATCGCTAAACTCAAATTCATTGTTGTGAAATCTTGTAAGTTTAGAGGCGGCTTCTTACTGTATTGCTCAAGCTCTCTCTATCCAACATTTGATTATTTTGTTTTTTTTCTTTATCATCAGCTATTTCGATACAACTACGTACACTGCGTGCATTTTGAGTATCAAACTATTTGATATTAGGGCCCTGTTTGTATTGGGAATAGTTTTGCTCCATTAAAGTATATATAGAAGTAGTATTTTTGTTACG